TGTATGTGAATTATGATCTGACTCAGTCAGAGAACATGAGAGCTGATATGGTTTTGAAGATACGGTTCAATTCAAAATTTCTGGTTCGGTGTATCACATTAAAAGTTCCAAGAATGGTTTATTCCGGTTTGTTTTTGGCAAAAATCGAGTTTTTGAATTTTAAAAAGGAGATGCAATCATAACAAGATTTTCTCAAATCTTGGTGAAAATATTTGTTGGGAGAAGAACAAAACGGAGAAACGAAAGGTTTCCGAAAACCCTAAGAAAAGAAGAAGCAAGAAATTCCTTGGAGAAAATCTCTCAAACCGCAACAATGGTGAAAGCCACACGAAGAGGACCAATCGGAGGAAGAAGACATGCCAGAGATGTTCGGTCTGATGGTGGTGCTGGAAATCCTCAATTGATTGACGAACCCATCGAAGAACCAGTCAGATCTACAGTTGCTCCACTTTCTCTGGTTCCATATGACAGCAAAGAAGATTCATTCGCCACTGCAAGCGAAGGAACTAAGAATGGTGCGTCTGGTGAGAAAAAGCAAGATGAAGTAGCATCAAAAAATTCTGACAAAGATACTGAGGTTCTTTCTGAGCAAATCGAAGATGACAAACTTGAGGAGGAGGTGATTGTGCCAACAGAAACGGTTCTCACAAACGCTGAATCAACAGAAGCTGGGTCAACGGAAGGAATTAAGAATTTGGAAAACCAAATTAAAGAACCAGAATCGAATTTGTCTGACAAAGAGGAAGAGAATACTGAAGAGGTTGTAAGGGACGAAGCAACTGAGTTGACAGTTGAAGAACAGTTTCAGAAGAATCAGAAGGAGAAGGAAGCTCGTAAGAAAAGAGTCTTTAAACAGTTAGGTCTAGCTCCTCCAACGAAGAAACAGAAGAAGGGTGAACCAAGTTCAAAGAAGAGCAAATCTATCAAGGCTTCTGGGTCAGGCAAAAGTCCTTCTAAGAAAAGCTTTCGATCAAAGCTATTTTCATCACCTCAAGCTAAAGCAAGGTATGATTTGTTTAAAAATAGAAACTTGATTGAGGAACGCCTGATTGATTTAGAAACAGAGGATTCTTGGGGCTACTTAGTCTTGATCAAGAATGCGAGATTGGAATCTACAGTAACAAATCTTGGAAGTTATGTGCGGGAAGTAGTGTCTGAATTTTATGCGAATCTTCCTTGTGAAAAGTCTGAAGAAAATGCTGAGAAGGTCAGTGTGTTTGTCAGAGGGCATGACTATGAGTTTTCACCAAAGAAAATCAATAAATTTCTTGGTTTTAAAGATTTAACCAAAGAGGAACTAAAGGCAGATAGTGATGCTGATTCTGTTGGAAAAGAACAACTTGCAGATCTGCTAAGTGAAGATGAAAAGACTGGCTGGGATGATTTAGTTTTCAAGAACTTCTCTCCTCGAATTGGAGCTCTTCTACGAATCACTGCTCAGAATTGGATTCCTTCATCAAATCCGGATTATGTATCAGTAGAAAGAGCTCAGCTCATTTACAAGATCTTTCATGGAATCAGATTTGATGTTGGAAAATTGATCTTCAATCAAGTGATGTCACTTGTTCAGAACAAGGATGAAAGATGGTTGGTGTTTCCCCGAATCATCTATGGGATGCTCATAAGTCAAAAAGAAGTGACCATCTATTCTGGAGAGAAGTTTGTGACTCCTAAGTTCTACAAAAAGGATGTCAGAACTGGTCAAGCTTACACTGAAAGGATGAAGGGCAAAGCAAATGCTAGCACTCAGCCAAATACTTCAGGAACTGCTCCTCAAAATGTCTCAGAACCTTCTTCTCAGTTTAATCCAGAGTATCAAGGATATACTGTTGTAGACATTGGAAGCATCCGCCTGCCTCACCCTGATGAGGATGATAGAGAGGGTATGTTTATGGCCTTGCTAGACACAGCTCACGCTATCTCCAAGATGAATGGAGTGATTCAACAACTTGTTCTCAGTCATCCTTTGTCTAAAAGGCTGTAGGAAGTTTGGTTTTTAACCTTGGGCTCTCAAGCAGGGGGAGAAAAAGGAGTTCATATGGCTGTGATTCTGGGGGAGTTCATGTGTTATGGGGGAGTAGTTATTTGATAATTTTGGCTAGTCTCCAGACTTTGTTGTTGCTTGATTTTCAAATTCTGGGGGAGTTATTTTGTGTTGGACAATGTTGCTAAAAGTTTTTAATAACTTCGGGTGTTTACATTCTGATTTCTTGAGATGAAAAATATCTACAAAAGATAGAAGATTTCAATTACAGGTGCTTGAGAGACACAAGATTAAAAAGGGGGAGATTGAAGATGCAGCTTCTGAAGGAGTTCCTGAACTAAGTCAAGATACCTCACAAAGTTACTCAAGAAAACAGAGCAACATGAACAAGATTAAGGAAATATGCAGAATCTTGTTATGGCGGTTTGAAGCGAAGACTAGAAGCTTAGAGAAGACTCTAGAAGACTGAAGAGTTTCCTTTTGCAAGATGAAAAGGAAAACATGAAGACAAAGGACAATTTCCTATTCCATAAAGAAAAAGGAAATTGTCCTTTCCAATTAGTTTTAGAATTGGAAATTGACCTGTTGTATGGTCTCAACCTATTTAGTATAAATAGGAGTGCTAAGGCTTGCAGAAAGCTCAGCACAATCACGAGAGAGAATTCCTAGCTGTTAAGTCTTAGTTTGAGAGAAATAGAGAACTAGAGGCTTAAAGAGAGCTAAGGGTTTTAGGGAGAGTTATTGTTCTTAATCGGTCTGTGATTAAGGAACAAGACTTAGTGAGAATAGAAAATAGTGTTAAAGGAGAAACCTTGTAAACATATTTTCTATTAATCGAAAGAGTTTTGAGAAATCCTGAGTTACATCGTGAACTAATTCAAAACTTAGTAGCTCTTGCATTTTCAGGATCCAATAATGCGAGTTATAGAGCATATCATAATGAAAGAACGTCAATATAATATTAACATAATCGAACCACTTTTTTTGTTGAATGTTAACGCACAATAATTTTTTATTTTTTGAACGTACAATTAATAATTGATTTGTACTAAATATATATGCATCAAAATAATCATGCTGCTTTAAAAAAGAATGCATCATCAGTCTCATACAAATTAAAATAAATGTACAAGTAACAAGAAATAACTATGTTTTTTGAAATTGTTATATAGATTCATTTATCACAATGTTTTTACTTTGGATTATTGGATATCACGAACTTAACTATTTCAGTATATATATTTGTTTGTTGTGAACTGATTAATAGGTTAATCCATTAGCTAAAATTAAACTGAGATACTACAGTATTTAAATAGAACAGATACTTATAATTTTAAAACCTAGTAAAAGAGAAAATTACAAGTGGTTGACAAAAAAAAAAAAAAAGAAAGAAGAGGAAATACATCAGTTTTTGCACAAAAAAAAAAAAACAAAATATCGGCACCGTCAAGAAGTGTATAATAGACCTGACCGCACACGTGTGGGTTTTTGTACTTGACATCAGTTTTTGCTTAAAATGGTTTAAATTAAATAAAAGAAAGGAAGTCGAATCTGTAATATAAAAGCGAAGTCAGGGGCAAATGTATATAGTACATGGATTTTGCTAAGATCTTCTTGTCTTCTTGAAATCTTTTTTTATTTCAAAATAGAAAATAAAGGCAACTTGTGTGTTACTGCCCCAAAATAAAAATAGATTTTTGTCGTGTAGCGACGACAATGAACATAATACGGACGAGAACCTCTGGCCGGAAACCTCCACCCCCATTCGGCCCATCTTTCTATTTGATGATAGATCTCTTCCTTTTTCTTTTGTAACATTTTTCTTACGACAAATGATTTACCAACAAAAGATATTCATTTATTCCAATTTCTTATTATTCAAGAAATTAAAGAGGTTGTCACGGGAAACCCAAAGGGACAGTACATTTTATTTTTTTACTTTATGACAGACAGCTTTGTTTCCTCATATCTGTATGTTCATTATTCACGAATCACTTGATTCACAACAAAGAATATCTATATATATAAAGTGTCATAATATCATGCAAAAAAAAAAACATGCATGATTCGACATTAGATTCAGAGCCTGAACACATTACCACATCTTTGGTATCTCCTATATGGCTATATTCGACCTTCCTCTCTTCAGTGTTAACATTTACTCCAACATCCATGTTGAATATTAAGCGACTGGCTAATTCGAAAAATAAACTTTAACACGATACTGACACAACTTGACACTGTTTTTTATTTTATTTTGTTAACAATTACTAAATGGTTCCGTGAATTGGGCCTTCTAGCTGCTCTAAATATTAAATCTACGTACGAGCCTATATAAAAGGGTCCTCAACATTTATATATCTGTCTTGCCCTGAGAATCTGAGATGATGATTCATGTGGTCTCTAACCTCATTACTTGCGACTCTATTAACGACGGCCCATATATTACGGCCCGTCTAATTATGCTTGATCTAGCCCATCGGTATTTAACCACTACACCCCCTCCCCTGCCTGCATCTATCTATGGTTGGCGCAGTCCAGTTAATAAAATTAAATCAAAAGCAAATGGCCTTATAGCAATAACATTGCCTCTACAAGACGCATAGAGCCACCACGAGAGGTGGTAAGGTAAACCATTTGTTTGTCTTCAAAATGATAGATAAGGAGTCTCGATGCCTGCTTGGTTAAGTTTGTATGTTGAGGCTGATAAAGCCTTTGTTTTATTAAACATTGAATGAATCTTATGTTGAACTTGAGCCTCAGAGCAAAAAAAAGAAGAAGCACATAACCAGTATTGATGCTTTTGAGTTTTTGATTCAGATCGTAGTAATCTGCAAATTTATGATATTATTCAGCCCTCCAAGTCCCTCACTCCCATGACACAAAGAAAAAAAAGGTTATTAACTCTCTCTCTATCTTTCACATATCTGCAGGCGAGAAAGGTTATGACTAGAAATACAAATACCCCCACCAAAAAAAGAAAAAGAGATGCAGAAGCAGAGAACTAAAAGAATAATACAAAAGTAGATGAAGCTGTGACAAAATCAATATAGCAAAAAAAAAGAAAGAAGAAAAGAGATGGAGAAGGAGTGCTAGGTCTCCATTTGATCAAGAAGCATCTCCTGGTACCTACACTCGCTGCTGCAAAAACCTTTCTCCCCTCTGCACCATAACCATATTGTAATTTAGTTTAGTTTTGGAACTCTATGATCTGATAAAAGTCAAACATCTATATATAAAGATTGTGGACGGACCTGTATATATAGATGTCCTGTTTCTGGTCAAGATTCTTCTTGCAGGTGAAGCAATAGCTTAGAAAACTCTCCGTGTTCTTGGTCTCCATGGCTGGTGGGTGTAAAGGAACAGAGCAAAAAGGAGTAGCCTCCACGAAAACAGAGTTGTCGAAGATATGAGTGATGGTTGGGTTTGGACCGTGGGATATGACGCGCGTGTAGTCCTCCGTGTGGTCTATCTCGCTCACGGCTAAGACCTTTGTTTGGACACAAGGACTGAGTTGTCCCTGTGCATGACCAGGATATCTCATGCCGGTTTTAGTTCCAAAATCAGCTGATGGGATCTGGACTCTGAGCTTCGACCCGAAGAGGACCATCTTGTTGACAGGTTTTCTCGAGTGGTCTCTGTTACTGTCTCCGTATTTGACGAGGTCGGCGAGGCCAAAGACGTCTGGTGGGTGAAAACGTTGGGGATTAGGGATAGTGGGCTCGAAATAGGAAACGGGTTTAGGGTTTTTGGAGGAGAAGATGGATGGGTTAGCTTCGAGGATCGACGTAGGGCTGACGAGGGAGAAATCAGAGTCAAAAGGAGTAGTCATCATCTTTGATGTGAAAAACCTAAACTTTGGAGAGCTAAAGAGAGATGATGAGCACTGGCAAGTGTTAGGCTTTGAAGGTGGGGGTTGCTCAGCCATTAATAGAGATGTTTGTTTCTTGGTCACGGCAGCTCTAGGTTTGTTTCTAAGCATAGTTAAAGACCGGTGAGGGTAAGGATCATAACTCAGTAGCTTCCATGGAGAGAGGAAATCAATGAGGATTTCAGTGTTCGTAAGAGAAAATATCTAAAACGAAAGAGAGAGTGAGAAGAATAGAGAGAATTGGTACAATAATTGAAAATTTCTGACTGCTTCTGGTCTTAATGGGGTCTCTCTCTCACTCCTATGAAATGATGATCATCTCCTCTCTCACAAAAATCAGATTGAAAGTTGCTTTCACTTGTCTCTTTTTTCTCTTCTTTATTCCAAAGAGTGAGAGAGAGAGTGATCTCGAGAGAAGGGACGTTGTGGATTTAACCAAGAAATGTATGCAACTTTACCGATTTACCCCTTACATTTATTAGCACACAGAGAGATTGCTCTCATTCATTTCAATAATTTTCGATACATTATTCATAAGGTTGAGTGTAACTATATCGTACTTTATTTTTTTCCCGTCGTGGATTAACAACATACATTTTGGGTCGACAATAAAAGATTGGAAACATCTTGCAGGATAATCGAATTTGTTTTGGTACACTTAACGGCGATACATTCATTATTTGTGCATTGATGTTTGGGCCTCTATAAAAACACAGGCTTTCGTTTTTTTATACTATCATTTTTTCTTTTCATTTTTCTTTATTCTGAGTTATTTTATTTCTTACAATTTGTATCCATTATTATATACAGCATTTTGTCATTATTTCGTTTGTCTTTCTCAAATCATAATTCACTTTCATTTGGATTTCTTGTTTTATTAATCAAAGAATCAGTGACGTTATTTAAAAAATGTAGGAGTGAATAATGTACATGTTAATCTATACTACTACTAAACAGTTGCGTGGATAAAAAACAAATGTAATCAGAGGAGGGCCCACAGTTGCACCTGCTTTGCTTAATCCAATAATTAAGATCTGGATAAGCGCCACGTGTGCTTGTCCACCAATAAACGTTTGATTGAATGGTCTTGATGCGTTTTGCTCCATTACAAGACAAATTAAATAATAATAAACCACTAATTTGACCAAGAAATTATATAACTCGTCGATGCAATGCAACTACTTTTATTGTTGTTGATCTTGTTTTTCTCGAATCCCATCTAACTATCGCATTTTTATTGTTTAAGCTCGTCAACTTCTGAATAATTCTAAAATTTTTGTAAGCAATCTATCATACATAACTAATAAATTCGTTTCTTCATTTGTTTTTCTTTAACGGATGATAGATACCAAGATTCAAGAAAAAAGGAGTTTCAATTTGCAAGATTATGTATAATCAGCCACGTAATTGAACCTACATATAATAATAAAATGGTTATTGTCAACCATTAATCAACGGAAAAGCAAACATAATTGTTAGTAGGGAATGAAAAGTAATGTAGTCGGAGATAAGAAAAAACCCGTTAATACTATAGTAGTGTATTTGTTTATCACGATAGAGGAAGGAGTTAGTGATAGGCCCGTGGGGCTAAGGATGATGATGTAGACAGGAGTGTGTAGGTCCTCTCCTCTACGGTTTTCGCTATTCTATTTACGTTGTGATTATATTGGGCTTTTCTTCTCTACTAGTGGGCCCCTGGTCGATTTGAGCTTTTATTTTTATGTTTGTTTACCAAAGAAATTTTGTGTGTGTGTGTGCGTGTCTTGTTTTCATGCCTTAACTCTCAAGGTCTTCTTGCCTCAATTGGTGTTCTCTTTTTCTTTTTTCGGATAAATCTAATTTTATGAATAGGCAGAACAGCGCGATCCGATTGAATTTCTTACAAATAAGAAGAAACAAATAGCGACTACTAACTCATCCATCTATGCCATTGAATGTGTAATTTGTTTTTTTTTCTTTTTTTCTTTTTTTGATTATGTAATGAGTGTGTCCATCGATTCCGTAATTGTTTTTGTAACCCATTCAGTCAACAACTTTGATCCCTTAATCACTACTACTTTTACCATAAGCATACGAATATGTTTGACTCCCAATTCATAGACGTGACTATTTAAAGATTGATTACCTTCTAAATCACCTGACGTAGAGGTTAGAAAATAGTAGATATTGGAGTGGAATTAGCACAAATCATTCATTTGATTCGATATTGAATAATTATATTTCTTTCCCTTTCATGATTTCTTTGATGACTCGCCATCTTTAATCTTGGTTATTATTAATTCGAAAGTGACAAAGTGGCATCGAAAGCATGAGCTAGATAATGAAGGAGAGGTCCCTTTTCTTAAATCATTGCTTCTTTGTTTAACATGTCTTAAATCCGAATCATTACTCAGAGCTTGAATACCAAAAAAATTTCTCTGTGTTAATGACCAAATATCTACATGTTCAAACCCATATTGCTCTTTTTGATTGTGTAAGCCCAACACTAAATAATATGTGCAACATGTACAAACCCAACCTGATAACATCCCGACATATAGCCCAATCAATAGGACCCGACTAATAGAGCAAACCCATATCAATGAAATTTTCCGTGAATTTTTTTATTCTAACTACAAAAGTAATTTTTTATTAGGACATGGATTGATTGTTTTAAGAACTGTATACTACACTAATACCAACCAGGCTATATATGTCATGGTAAGTTTTATCTATATGTAATATGCTTTGATGGTATTTTCTCATCTGCCATTCGTTTATTTTATTTTCTCAAAAAGATTTAGAAACAATAAGATAATCAAAACATTTAACAAACAGGAAGAACATTAAAGACATACAAAACAAAACGAAAAAAAAGACAGAAAGACGTCATCTTGAAGCCACATTCCCATCAGATTGTCAACTGCGTGCAACCAAGGATCGTCCCCCGACACCTTGTCATCGGGGCCACCCTCCGCCACGCCGGACGATCATTCCCAACTGTCAAAACGTCAACGTCTGACAACGGTTTGATGTCCCAATTAAGCCTATCAGGTCCAATCACTCCTCCTACGATCAAAACCTCTTCGCTCAAACTCGTCATTGCCATTCCAATCCTCCGCTTAAACTCTGAGGCCGATGCAACCATCTTCCACGTGTCACCTTCTTGCTTGAACACCAGCCCATGGCTCATCACGTAAAGCACGTCCTCAACAACCGCCATTGGACCTTGCGGCCAGCCATAGTCTTTCACAGCCCATCCGAGTTTAACGCTCTCAAGAACCTGCACTGTCGATAAGCCTTTGTGCAAGACGTGAACTTTCCCGTTTACCACTAGACCCGAGCAGGCAGAGTTATGTGTCCGGTGGAGATCTGGGATGGATGTCCAGACGTCATTCTCAGGATCATACATCTCCGCTCCAGATATAGATTTCCTGCAAGTCGTGAACCCACCCGCAACAACAATCTTCCCTTCAAGAACGCAACAGGCAAACATAGCACGAGGCAAGAGCATTGGTGCGAGAGGAGTCCATCGTCTCTGTACAAAGTCGTAAGACCAGACCTCATCGGTTGCAAAGGTACCGTCGTGATCCCCGGTTAAGGGATTGACAGCATCGCTGCCTCCGCCTAAGACAAAGAGCTTCCCGGCGGTAGTGACGGCCCCAAAATGGGCAAGGTGGCGGATTCTGGAAGGAAGGAGAGGGAGAGTGAGCCAGCGATCGCAGTTGGGACTGTAGACTTGCCAGATGTTCTCGGGATCGAAAGCACAGACGCAGAGAAGATCCTCTGTTGATCGGACCTCTTGACGGACTCTGAAGAGCTCATCACTGCGGATAGCTGCTCGCCAGGAGCGAGACACGAGTTCTAAATTGGGATGAAGGTGTAAAGGCACATGAGCAAGGCATCTCAGAGCCACTGCGTCTGGAATACTTTCCAGCAGCCCAGACATTGTTGTCGCTACACAAAAGAAATCTGAAACACATTGATTAATCACATGAGATACAAGAAATTGCATATCGATGAATCCGAATACAAGAAATTAAAAGCGTATAAAGTGAAGAAGATTTGGGGGATTGATAATGTGTGAAGTAAAGCTTTCAAAGGGAGAAACTTTTTTCACCGTAAGACCTAAATTCTTCTCTCTTTCTTTTTCAGACGAAATGAGACCGCCGCACCAGACGTAATCACACAGCAAATAATCGATTTCAGAAGACACAAAATTGGATTAAAAAACCCTAAAAATTGGAGGCGAGAGAGAGAGAGAAAGAATCAAGATTGGGGTCCGAGCAAAGCATTAAATCGAATCCAATGCAAAGCAAAGCAGAACAACATATGGGGAAACTTAGACACTGGAGTCGAATTACAAGAGAGATAAATCAAAGAAGCTCAGAGAATGATTAGATTAGCATAATAAATCGATTTGGGGAGTAATTTACCTGAAGCGCTACAAGAGGGAGGGAAATTGATGAAACGCGAAGGAGATTCTGATATCTCTGGAGAAAGTTAGCCTTATGATTTTGCCGGAGAGAGAGAGACGAGAATCGAATCGAAATCGAGGTTAAGGAACAGCAAGCAAGGAGAGAAGAAGAAGGTTTATTATGATTGGTTGTTTTAATGAAGAAGCAACGTCGTTTTATTACTAAACCGATCGATAATCATCATTATCATTCTCCGTTTTTTTCTTTTGCCCCTTACCGTTTTCATTTCATCAACACATAATAATATTCTTTACGTTCACATGGGAGATATTGACACCAAGTTAGTAGAAAACAAACATACAATAAATGTCGATTGGGATATTCTCTCATCCCAAATTCTCTATTTTGGTATCTTTATAAATCTCATCCTTCCTAACATCAAATAATACATATTTTACTTTTTGTCATTTGTTATTTTTTACAAGCACATCATCCAAGTTCAAATTCCCTTTAATGCATATTCTTCAATAATTTTTTCATTCTATATACTTCAAAATTTTATAAAATATGTTACTTCCTATTTCTTTTAAAGGTTTGTGATTTTCGATGCAATTAATAACTCTTAAGAATCCTTTAAAAAAATAAAACGATTAACAGTGAAATAATAGATAGTTACCAAGTGTCGTTAGCTCAACTGGTAAAGACTTTAGGCGAAGCTTAGAGGTCGCCGGTTCGAGTGACGCTTGAGACGAAACTAATATTACATGCTGTGGTTTCGGGCCTGGGGGAATTACGGGTTTCGGCCCAGAACCTCCTGGTATTCAAAACAAAAAAAGAAAAAGAAATAATAGATAGTTGAAATAAGAATGAATGCAAAAGTAATTAAGCTACCCGGTGACCGGTGTGGGTTAGAAAATAGTAGAGTCTAGTCTAAAATACACCGCAAGTTTTAATGTTTACTATTGTATTTGGAAGTCAAATTCTGGCTTAGTTTTTAGTCAAAGTTATGAAGTCAACAAATCTTGATCTTTTGAATATCAGAATCTTAAAATGACTAATATACATACAATGACACTAATTTTGTTCTTGAATACTACCAACTAATGTACTTAGACAAACACAAATGGAATAAATTTCCAAAATGAAAATGTAAAAATGCTATTCAGAAATGGGTATCCAAATCAAATGGGGGAGACGTGGCATTTATCAAATTAAAAGGCTACAAAGCCCATTAAAGAATTCTTTTTAAAAAAGGCTATAAGGTTGTTAAAGGCAAGAAATCTTTGTATTCAAAAGACCAAAAAGAATACACGTGTGCGTAGTCAGTCGTACCTACACCTGGGCGCAGAGGATCAAAGAATGGAGTCATTAGTTTTGATGACGCGTCTATTCTGTGAATTATAATTGGTCCACATAGGAAATCCAACGTGGTCCCCACAGTGCCTATATATATATATAGAGGCGCTCCTTGACGGCTCTTTCTCGCTTACCAAAACTTTCTCACTTGTCTCATAAATCATAATAAACCCAAAAAATCAGGGAATTTCCCAAAACCCTAAAATTTCACTCGAATTGCCTACCCTCCTCTCTCAATAGATGACAGATCTAATGGTTCCGAGCAAGAGACCGCGAGCCCCAAGCTTCTCCGATAAGCATCCTGATGAGTACGTAGGTTCTTCGGATTGGTTGCCGGCCGAGAAAGACAAGCCTCAGGTTCAGGTCAATAACTTCCTTGAGCTATGCCGTTTCTGCAACAAGAACCTGCGTCACGACGAGGACGTTTTCATGTACGGGTCAGTTTTTTTTCACTTTCCCTCTCTGCTCTCATATATATATACTATTAGTCTTCCTCTTTTATCTTGTCTGGTTGCTCCCTCTTGGACATTTCCTTGTCTGATTCTCTCTTATGAATTGATTCATCCTAGTTGTTTAAATTCCGACTCTCGAATTGATATGATAGTGTCACATACATTCTAGTATCACAGTTAGAGAAGGTTGTTCTTCGTGGATGATTACATAGTGAAAATTCTTGTTGCAACCATATCTGATTCTTTGGGCCAAAATGCAGATACTTGGGGGCATTCTGTTCAAAACAATGCAGAGCAAAACAGATGGCGTTGGACATCTTTAGGGAATTCCCGCGACAGAAAGCAATTGCTAAGAAGGGAAGAACCTCCAAAGATGAAGTGTTAGAGAGGATCTCATCATCATCATCATCATCACGCTTTTATATATGATTTTGTATTTAATGATGATTCAGTGTAGATGGATATGTGCAACAAAGCCCTTTGTCTCGTTTTTTTTAGGGGGAATTGGCTTACCACTCTCACAAGTTTGCATCGGCATTGTTATTACATCTGTCGATGATCAAACTTTCTCTTTGTTTTTTTTAGGACTCTCTTTTTTAAGTCTTGTTTGAACAAACCAATTTGATGTACAAGTGTGTTTTCTTAGGGTGGGTATCACAGCCTCTGATTTTTTCTTTTTCATTAATCCAAAAAGTATGTCTTTGGCGTTTACACTTTTGGATTTTGGCTGTCTCGTGAACTCAGAGAGGCTTTCGAATGCTACTTTATGGCTTTATGCCCTAGACTCAAGAGCTTTCTATGTCTATCATGGACTATATTATCAAGGAGATTCAACAAGAATGAATTTTTATAAACGGGCCGTGTATCGGAAAGCCCATAATTCAAAAATGGGTAATAAGAGGGATCGTTGAGTGGGCCTGTATTTGGGCACATTATCATTTATCTCGCCCTGTCAATTTATAGGACCAAAAATGTTTTAAAAAAATAAAATAATAATTAATGGGTTAAATAACATTTCTGTTGAAAAATATATAATTATCCATCTAAATAATATATATACATTATCCATATGTAGCTTGGGATGCAAGGCACTTGCTCACCAAGTTTTCTAGCACTATATAAACTCATGACTTTGAGATGTATGGTACGTAGAGAGTAAGAGAGAGATAATAATAAGAAGAGAGAGTTGTGTTATGTTGTTTCTCTCGTCCACTTCCTCTCTTTTAATTATTTAGCTAAAGTCATATACATATATATTATTATATTACATATATGTTTAAGTTATATTTTATAACACGTTATCAGCACGATGTCTTTACCGCTTGAGCGTTTACGAGGTAAGTTATAATTTCTGTTATTTAAATTCATTTATGTTTGTAGAACAGAAATATTATAGACATCGTGAGACTATGCCTTTTTCCGGTTTGATCGTTATAAATGGTAGGCTATGCCTTCTTTACGATCAAATAAAAAGCTATATCTTTTCCGGATAGATCGTTATATATGGTAGGCTATGCCTCCTTTACGATCAAATAAATGGCTATGCTTTTTCCGGATCGATCGTTATATATGGTAGGTTTTACCTTCCTAACGATCAAATAAAAATTTATATTTTTCCGGATTGATCGATATATATGGTAGGCTCTGCCTTCTTCTCTACGATCAAATAAAAGCTATGCCTATTGAATTCTTAATGGAAGGCGATGCCTCCTGAATTCTCGTATATATAAAAAGGCCTTTGTCTCTATATTATTAATTTTATGAATTTATGTGTTTAATTAATTTAATTTATTTTATTCGTAAATAATAAATATGTGTTATATGAGATTTAAAGACATTGTATGTCTTTAAAATCAAAAATATATTTCTCTTATGAGAATATATAAAGCACGTGACAAAATATTTTTAGACAGTGCAAAATAATTGGAAAGTCTAGATGAGCTAGTCTCTCGACTTCCAAATGCATCAGATTCATAATAATCGATGCTTTGTGTTCTCCAAAGTCTCAAAGAAACTCGTGTAGTTTCTAAAATATTTTTCTTTATAATTATTATATTGAGAGTATAAATAAATGTGGTATCGAATGTTTAACCACAATGGAGACACGCATATGTATGATTATATCATGCAAAAAATAAAGATGGCAAATCACCATTTTTTTTTTATTTAAGCTCATTATATATGATGGTTGATTTCCTAATAATCCCCAAATTAAGCCCCGAATATAACCGATCTAAAAATTAGATTCGGTCCAAGATAAATAGGCTTGAAAAGCCGTCATCTTGAGAAGGGGTTATTACGAGTCCCACATTTTTTTTTAAGGATCTAAGATTAAATACATGATCCATATTGGATATGTTATTGATCCTAAAGTGTCCTAAAGTGGGATTCATTTCGAGATGAATGAACTCAAAGAGTTATTATCTCGAGGGGGAGAATTAAAGGAATCCCATATCGACAATAAGTCGATAAATTTTGGTGAATTTGACACTCCAGAGCGAGATAACTCTGGTGAAGTCATATCCTAAAATTTATCGCTTTGTGATAAAGTGCAACATCTAAAATGATGTTCACTCTCAAAATAAGCTTTAAGCGAATCGTTCATAACGCAAATCCAAGAGATTGCAAAACGATTCATGGTGATTTAATCTTCATGTTTTTACATGCAACATGCAGTTTTGCATATAGTAATGATTATATACAAGGCCAACGATTTATAAGAAATATTTCTCTCATGTTATATATACATGATTGGAGATCAAATATTTCTAATTTTGAATTTTACGGGTGTGAGATATTTGTTATAAATGCTCCTCTGCACCGCATAAAAATTAACATCCTAAAAGGATGAAATATATAGACGCTAGAGATGAGTCTCTGCTCTATAATATTGAGCCATCTTATGAGAGATGTGCCTATTGCAAGATTTGCATATCATCTTGTTGATGATAAAAGTTTCCCATCATTATGGGAGAATCATTGAATAGTTAAGATCTTTGAACAAATGACTATAATAAATATGAACTTAAGAGTTCAAAGTTCAAATAGATCACTATTCATAATAAATTGCAAATCAAATGCAAAAAGCTGATGGATGAGATTTCATAAATTATTGATCCTCGTATAAATACATATGAACTTAAAGTTCATAGAAATCTCTCGTCCTAGCTAAAAATGCTCTATAAAAATATGTCTCTGGCGGATGACATACTATTGTCTATAACACGTAAAAGAACGTGATAGACAACTTGGTTCCAAATATAAAGAAAATTCTCGAAAATAAAAAATGAGCATATTATTACTAAAAAGAGGATTAAACTCTTAAAAGAGGAGCATATACACTTCTAAAGAGGAGCCTAGAGACTCCTCAAGAGAAGCAAAGAGACTCCTAAAGAGGAGTAAAAAGACCGATTGACATGGTTAAAGATGAAATCAGGTAACTGAATAAAATCATTTATAATGATTAAGAGATCTCGATTAACCATGTCACTACGGCAAATATGGAACCAAAGACAATACAATGTCGACAAGAAAAATGATCTAGCGCGCAAATAAAATTAATGAGGATCATAAATCTCTGCTCTGTGAGCGTAAAGAGATATATATTGGCCAATAAACAAAGACGCAGCCAAGTCTATAATAATCTCGTATAAGAAACGAGTAATTCCTGGACACATGGTCCAAGCATCAAAAGAGTATTATGATGCTTAAGACAAGACGGTGTGTCGCGCCGGATTTTGTCAAAATCACTCAATATTGAGTTGATGAATAAATGACTTGAATTGCGCCTCATGGGATGTCTGTAGGACTAATCCTTGAAAGATATATGATATCATAGTTATATTCCCGGGAACTTATACGCATGATGTTTTTGAACATCATCAAAACTCTTAAAGAGTTATTTGGAATAAAAGATCTTAGAAAGACAAAAGTAATTCCAGATATTCCAACTAAACATCTAAAGAAATAGATGTTATATAAGTCACTTCTAAAGGAAGTTGACTCTATATAAAGCACTATATATAAATGCTGACGAGTATTTATATATTTTGTGAATTGTAGATAGCATATATAAATGCTGACGAGCATTTATATATCTAGTGAATATATTGTACCTAGCATTTGCTACTGATCTACTTGCAGGATTAATTCATTTTCTCCGACTAGACCTTTTGAATGAGTTCAAATGTGTCTTCCATTATCTGCAAGGTACGATTGACTTGGGTTTATTTTATTCTAGAAACCCCGAGTTTGGTTTAGTTGGTTTTGCAGATGGATGATCTATATGAATATATATCGCAAAACAACAACTACGTGGCGTTTCCAACAACAAATTTTGGCCGCCGCTTGCTCAAGCCATGCTAAAATTATTGCGCTCCATGAAGCATGTCGAGAATCTGTATGGCTCAGATTGATGCCTTGAACATATACAAGTAACAAGAAATATATGCACCAGTGAAGAGCCAACAACAAGATGTTGTTACATATGTTTCCTAACTCAAAGAAAGATATGTCAAAAGCGAGATGACAAGACATATTTCCCCAATATTCTTCTCATGCACTCAAGAATCTGAGAAGAAGCAAGAAGTTGATGTCCAGTACATCCGGCCAAGTAACAATGTAGCAGATTTACAAAGGCGCTTCCAGCTACAACATTCAAAGCATCTTCGCAGATCAAAAGATCTCTTTTGAAGATGATGCTTCCAGGGGGAGACATATGATGATGAGTGTGGCTGCACTCTTTTTCCCTTATCATGGTTTTTATCCCACTGGGTTTTTCCATGACAAGGTTTTTAACGAGGCAGCAAATAACACGCAAAAGATAGACATCAAAGTGAAGGTCTACCTCTCTACAAAAATCTTTGTCATAGATTGACGAGATCAGAAGAAGCGCAGAGAATGATCGAGTCATCTATGAAAGCTATGGAGAGAACAAGACTCGTCTATTCCAGGGGGAGATTGCGTCACTGTACTCTTTTCCCCTTATCATGGTTTTTATCCTATACGGTTTTTCCATGATAAGGTTTTTAATGAGGCAGTACGCAATACGTTAATAATGATGGATAATTAAGGGGGAGTGTTGAAAAATATATAATTATCCATCTAAATAATATATATACATTATCCATATGTAGCTTGGGATGCAAGGCACTTGCTCACCAAGTTTTCTAGCACTATATAAACTCATGACTTTGAGATGTATGGTACGTAGAGAGTAAGAGAGAGATAATAATAAGAAGAGAGAGTTGTGTTATGTTGTTTCTCTCGTCCACTTCCTCTCTTTTAATTATTTAGCTAAAGTCATATACATATATATTATTATATTACATATATGTTTAAGTTATATTTTATAACAATTTCATTATAATTTACATGCCATTTATAGTAAACAAATTAAAGCTGGTAATCTCTTACCGTTGGTAATAAACATCTATTTCTCGCTAAATCCGTGGCCGTATTAGTTTGTTTAATGCGGGATATTCGAATCCTTGAGAAAATAGCCAGCCATACGTAAACCCTCTTTGCTGGAATTAAATATGGTAAAATATTATAAGAACGAAGGAATATTTCTAGATTCTTACATAAAAAAGGAAATTGCAAGAATCATGGCGTTATTTCCCGTTATTTGGAGGTATGACGAAATCCAATAGTACTATTTTTCTTAATAGATAAAAAGGAAACAAGAATTTAATTGGTTGCCAAAAAACAAAAAAAAAGGAGAAGTGTTTGACCGTATCTTTCTTAGGCCTCTCGTGTGGGGAAGCAGTTATTAGATAGGCAATGACCTCATCTGACGTAGTTAATTACTACTACTGACAGGAAACTTGGAACAGAAGCAAACGTCGAGGCAAATCATTTAGTAGAAGACGACGTCATTCCCCCTCAAAACAGCTTATTGATTCTCTTACTTGTTATGGTAACTCTTTAATTTTAACTGTATTAATGTTTCCTCTTTTCTTTTTTTGAGAATAATGGTTGGACCAAATCCATGACGCACCACCCCCTGACCTCTTCTCTGCCACTTTACCCTTCTTTTTTTCTCTTTCACAAATTATTAGTTCCCTTTACGAATTTTTGTTAATTACTTATTGATGTTTTGACTAAATAGCTCATCACAATTCACAAAGATGTAAAAAGAGAGAGAGAGAGGCATATACACGTCGCATCTCACTTGTTCTCGACAACTCCCCATTCAGTTTACATGCAAGTTCTGTTCTGTTCTATATCCACTGACGTCAACCTCTCTATTGCAGACGCTGACGTTGAGCTTTCTCTCCACGTGCACCGCAACTCTCAATACTTCTCTTCCACTTCGACCAAGCCAATTATGACAAACACTATTTTTTCCATCTTAATTTCTCTAACTGTATCTCTAATTTCTCTATTGTAACGACTTGTTCATTACTAAAGTACTATAATGATACAATTCCTTACGTTTAAAATTTAAGGCAGATAGCATATATAGTGTGCTGCCAACTACTCAAATTTGTAGTTACATGATTAATTTTAGTTTTTCATTAATCAACACAACACTCACCCACCGTTATATATATATTAAATACATTTCTTTATCGCCAATATATATTACCTAATGTCTCTACAAGAGTCCAAGGATCAAATCTTATGTTACAAATTGTTGTCATCAACTTGCCTAACAATCAATTTGAATAGCCTTTACTTTGTTTTTATGATTGATTTACTCGCAAATCCCATTCGTCAGGGATTCACGTGTAGGGATATGATATAATATATATATATATATATATATATATATATATATATATATATATATATATATATGTGCATTTTGATTCTCTTTATTAAAAGATAAATTACTCATAACAAAGCTAATATATAAAATGTTGACAAAAGAAGGAACCAATTAATATATAACATAGCCATATATTTGTCATTAACAACAGATCCAATACAACAATCAAACACGGATCGGGGTCGTAGGTTAACTATATATCCTTCACAAAACTTTCTTTCTTTTTAATTTGGGTAATAAAAGACTAACCTTAAGATCAGTCATTCGTTTTAATATATAATCCTATACACGATAATCAATTATTAGAAGCTTCGAGGGATGAGGATCACATGGAAATATCGTTTTCTAAATTGCTATTATGGAACTTGCCTACAAGCCTAGAGTCCTATATATATAAAAAACAAAATTATGTTGGGTGTATTAGTTAATGTGTCACTGTCTTTCTAAATAAATGTTGTTCAGTGTATTAGTTAATATCTTCCAAAATCAACATATATATAGTAATGTAATCGAATGGATATAAGTATATGATTATATAATTTATAAAAGTAAAGTTAAATGGAGTTATAAGAAAGTGAAAGAGACTAGATCCAAGTGGAACAATGAATTGATTTGGTATTTTGGCAGAAAGGGTCGAGTGATGTTACGACATAGCATGTGGTTGTGATCTAGTTTATAGGATCTTCTCATCATATCCATTTGCGAAGAAGCTTCTTTATCTAATATGTAGATCCATCACAAACCATGGAACAACAAAATTCATTATAATATTCGTACATGCCGTAGTTCTGTATTCCACTATATAGTAGAAAAAAATAGAAATAGAAAAAAGAAACTGGTATAATAAGACAAAAGATATTAAACATAGGAAAAGAAGATGAAGCAAATAAGAGAAGGAGAGGATGGGCAGTGAAAGTGAGTGGGCATATGCGTCCTCCTAACCTTCTAATCTCCACCGTTGCTCAGACCAAAATATCTACCGTCGGATATGACTCTTGTTAGATGATATGAATGTTTTCTCTTCGATAGTATTTTTTATTGTTTGAATTTCTACGAGCCATCGGTATCATTTATATGTAGATAATACACTATTCGGTTACCATTTAGACCCATAGTATAAATTGAAGGGAGCTCCGGCGAAAATAGATTACTGGGAGGAGACAAAGATCTCTGTGGAAAAATAAAGATATATCCGACGTGGCGAATAATGTAGGGTTAAAGGCAATCCAAAGCGAGACACGACTCTTTATCTGATCCTCTCCTCTTTATTTTACTTACTTACTGAAAGAGCTCCACTCATATACATTCGTTTACTTCACTCGCTTCTGCCTCTTCATAAAGTACATTGAGAGAATGCACGGAATTACATAACTATCATTATTATTGTCATTTTCTTGCAAACAAATGGAAAATTATGTATAATATTGATGTGAAAACTCGGTAAATATACCGACTACTCACCATTCCAACTGGTTTTATTGTTGGTGATTTTTGTCTTACACTCTGATGTTCAACACATTTTCACCTTTTTTTCTTCTTTTGGAATTGTGTTTTAGGTTTAGTATATGATTCGGCTATTAAAATAAACATATACAATCATACATACATATCTTGACCAGAAAAAGTGCTTTTTGTTTTAGGGAAAGAAAAAAAGCCTATTGTAGAATCGAAAGTACAAAAGATCATTCTTCGAGTTTGACTCTCTTTTTCGAATTCTCACTTTCAAGATCGATTATTAATATTTTGTTTTACCCCTTTACATTGTGACACAAATTGGATTTGTTTCATTCAATATTATAGGTGTATGGGCACAAAACTAATAGGACAAAAAAATGACAAATAACAAAAAAAGCTTTTAACTCTGCTCTTTCCAATCTAAACCCGTTGGTCCTTACAAAGAATCCATTATATTTACAAACTATACACAAGTTTGACGAATCCTACTAATCTATGGGAAGAAACTAATGGTTTGAAAACCAAAAAAAATGGTCACTTCTCTATAATCCTAAAGATATACTCTCTTCTGTTTTCACTCGAATCTTCTCCTGTGCTTAGGCACCAGAGATCTTGACCAAGATCTAACTTTCAATGACTCTTTGATTCACATATCTCCAACCCCTGAAAAATCCTGCAAGACCAGATGATATCAGAAAACCATGAGCAACACCAAACGAAATTATTCTATAATCATCAAAAGATTTAGTTACCAGTTTTCTTTTTGTTAAGGCTTTAGAAACATTGAATCCTCCCTCGGGATCTGTCTTCAAATGGATTCTGGACCGATGATGAATCAGTACGGGTTAAGCTCAGAATATCCATACCGTTGAGGAAGAAGTTCCTCAACTTCTATCCTAGAGCTGGAGTAACTGGAGCTTTTCTTGATACGGTTTCTATATACCGATTCAATCTCTACTGAGAACAAACTGTAGACTGGTCTGTGATCAGAGAATCTTGATTCCCCGCGAACATATGACAGCTGATTAATACCACTTCCGTACCAGAGTATGCGATCACACCTTCAATTCAGTGATCAAACTCAGTATGTTTGCTATGCCATCAAGTTAAAAATTAGACTAGAGAGATAAGTACTAACCATGCTGGAGTCCGTCTCTTGGCCTTGGGAAGCCGATCATCGCCAGCATATATATCTGAATTGTTAGAGTATTTGTAAGTGGGTGGAAAATATATAGTCCCTTCGTTCCATCCTTCAAAGACACAGCCTTTTCGTTGTTCTATCCGTAGCTGTAACAACAAAAAGAAGTGACATTTAGATAAAATTTCTTATCTTTCATAGTATGTAAATTTTGTTGGTCTTTGAATGGTTGTCTAAATGTAACTACCTGGTCTTTCTCAAGCAAGGCACTCCAATTTCTCATCTCGACAAGAGCTTTTGCAGACCGGTAAGAAAGAGCTATACGGTAGTTCAAGTCTCCAAGCCAGATTACCCGACTGAAGAAAAACAGATTTCGCTAAGTTGATTGCAAGAATCAAAATTCAACAAGTAAAGAGCGCAACAGATAACTCACTCGTGTTCTAAAATCGTCTGAGGAGACTTGTCGTCGCCTGCATTGTTAACTCTAGGAAATCTGGTTTTCCTTAGAATCTCCAAAACATCAGAGTTTCTTCTTAGCTCGTCGCCTTCTTTCTGACCAGACGTCAAGTGGCTGCAGACAAAGCAGAAGCTTGTCTGGTGAACGGACATGCTGATCGAAATGGAGCCCTGCAGATAATAAAAGATCCAAAATTTGACAAGCTGAAAGACATAGGAAGCATATCAAAACAGGATTTGGGAATGTGGAATTAACCTTGTTTCCAAGATAACCCATCAAGCCTCTGCCAACACAGGACACTTTGAGGTTCTTGACACTGTCCCTTAGATCACTCTTGACCCAAACGGTTAAGAATATCCCAACCATCTGCTTACTGGCCACTAAACAGTACTTAGACTTGTCTCTTCCCTTATCTCTGTCGTCAGCCACAAAGGATCCAGTCCTCGAGACAGGGGAATAGTGATCATGAGAAGGAGAATCTGGCTCGTCCTCAGAGGAGCAATACCTAAAGCTCTGGTCGTAGAAGTCGTCAGGTCTGTCGCCCAGCATGAAACGGTCACAGACGCTGAATCTCCGGTCAAACTGCGGTGGCAAGGATGATGCAGACATGTCCATCCTCATGCTCCTGCTCCGATGGTAGAATAACGAGTTAGCCCCAGCGGCTGAGTCACCTTCGAAGTCAGAGTCGAGCTCGGCGACCGGGTGGGGAACTGGAGAAGGAGTCCGGCAGTTTCCGCCGGGAAGGCTGTTCAAGGTTCTCCTGATGAGAGAGACCCATTTCCTGGCGGGTCCGTTGTCCTCGGTGCCTAAAACGTTGCCGGCGTTCAAAGGAACGATCTCTTGGAAGCTGTAAAAATCCAAGTCATGAGAGGCTTTTCGAGATTGCGAATCGAATGAAAGAAAGAAAAGGTGTGTGTAAGTACCCAAGAACGTAAATGTCGGAAGGAGGAGAAGTGTGAAGCCAATCATCGAGATTTAAATTACTCGGCGGAGATTTTCCGGCGACATTCCATGTAGCAGTAAAAACCCTTTTATGTATAAAGCGTGTGTATGTTAGATAAAAAAATCCCAATAAATCAAGAAGACACAAGAAATATATAAATACATACCTAAGATGATCAAGTGGTGGATCGACATCGAGTTTGTTTCGTCTGGCTCTTCCGCTGTTCCTTTTGCTCGGAGTCTCTGCATACGATTTTTGATATCAAATTCATTTTCTTTAATGATAAAAAGGAATAAAAGGAATGAATAAATGGCCCAAAGTTTTTATCAAAAAAAAAAGGGAAGAAGAGAAGGCATGGTTTATGACAGACTGACTGACCAGTTTTGCTTTTGTGGACAGAGCATGCTTCCTCTCTTTCAATGACATTGTTCCTCCAATCTCCTCCACCTTCACCAAAAAGAGAAACCCGTTACAGCTTTTCTCTTCTCACATTCCCAAGATGGACATATTACTACTTATAATTAAAACATTGTCTGAGTTAGTTTCTTACCTCTGTCCAAGTCGTCTGCGTGAAAGTTTTCTGATTTGCTCTTGATGTTGAGCCATTTCTTGACCAACGTTTTGGGCCATGAAAGCTGCAGCAGAAACAAACGAGATTTAGATAGAGTTCATCTAAGAAGACTTCTTTTAAGAGATCATAATCAATTGAAAGAGAGAGAGATAACGGGAAATAAAAACCTTGCTTTTCTTGAGGCTACCATCACCCATTGTTCTTCACCTTCATACAGAGATGGCTAGATCTCTGATTCACTATTTTTAATCTTTTTATTAGCAAAAAAAAAGTCAATAGATAAGCATCCCCTGAAGCCAAGACCCAAGAGAGATGGTTGAGATTCTGAGAATGGAAGAAGTCAATGTGAGACTACTTCTTCTTCTTCTTCTTCTTATACAGAGGAGATAGGGATTCTCACTCTGCCTATGCAGAAACAAGGAACCTCGTTTCAGGACCAAACTGCTTGTTGTTGGTTTGCTGTTTGTTTCTTTTCTCTCTCTCTCTTTGAACGCCAAATCCAAGAAGGGGCAAAAGAAAGACAACAACTTTGGAACCCGAGTTCAGAGAGATGGGTATTCGGGTACTGCCCGGATTTTCCTCTTCTTCTACTTGTTCTTGATTTCTTAAATGTATCCGTATTCTTGCTCTCTCTCTCTCTCTCTCTCTCTCTCTCTTTCTGTGTCTTTAAAGAAGAACGGATCATGAAACTGCCATATGATTCTCTCTCCACAGCTTCTTCTTCTTCTGCATCTCTCTCTCTCTCTCTCTTGCTTATACAAAATTGTGGGTCCGACCCGTTTTAAAGAAATGTATTATTAAATCCGATTTGTACCCGCTTTTTCCTGTATCGGGTCGGGACAGACGACCCGTTAACTTTCTCAATTTACATATTCTAATTATCACCAAAAAAATTGCTAGTTGCATTGCATACAGAGAGTTATTGCACTTTCCCTCAAACTTTTGTTTTCATATCTCATTGATTTTGACGTATCTCATTTTCTTCCCATAAAATATTTTAACTTTACCTTATTATGGAATACTAATCTATATCCTCCTAAAAGCTCTGATTCACTACTTCCTGGAATTAAAAATGTTCATTTCCCTTTTATGTTCAAATTTTACACTATTCAGTGTATTTAATTTGTTGCCGCAATGTAATTCTTCCTTCTTTGTTCAAATATTTATACTAGATCATATTAATAGAGATAGACTTGTAGATTGTTCAATAATAATCCAAATATACTCTTATAGAAACTAACAAATCAAGGATATGCATGTGTATATATAATGAATTGCGGAAATATGATATAAAACATTAATCATAAGAGTTACAATCCAATCCATTACATCAAAATAGACACTTTTGGTTTATTCCATTCCATATATTGCAATACAAATCCCGGATTTTGGCAATTGGAACAAACCCAATAAACAAAAACAAACAAAAAACGAAATCTCAATTCTTGGGAATATGTCGCCAAGAAACAATACTAGTTATTATTAATGTACTAAAAGGAAACTAAAATATAGTAATCAAAGCAAAACGAGAGAGTGGATTGGTTAGCTAAGGTAGATGCATGTATGCATGTTTAAAGGGTGAAGTTTGAGGTTTCGGGAGACACCAACAACAATTGTCACTTTATGTTTTTGGATTCGTATTTATCATTTTTATCATAGGAAAAGGGAATTAACACGTTTACCAAAACTTATTTGCAAGGCACTTTTTAGTAAAATGTGAGATTTATAAAAATTGAGTTTTGTTATTTGGAAAGAGGAGGGGCTTCTTTTTGACCCAAAATCTAGACTAATGTCTCTAAGGGACCATCCCCTTTGCGAGACTCTGCCTCGTCCTCTTCGATCTATTACTTTATTAAACTTTTAATTGATCAAACGTTTAATTCAAACTGTACTAATTATTGTAAGAATACAATGTGACATTGCATATATCCATCCATGTGATGTGAATGCTACCTATGAATAACATATGGTACGAACATAAGATGGGTTTGAATTACTGTGCCTTAGGGTTTGGGTAGAGTCGAGTTCAAACTGAGAAATAGTATTTGTGCAAAAGTTATATTGAAATACTATAATCTCGAAGCTAACTTCTGTTTAATTTTTTTCTACACATAATAAAGTTGTGATCTTGTAGGGTTAACTTATGGGGGCCAATGCTCTCAGATTTTGCTTTATCTAAAATTTTATGATTATAAAATCGAGTTTTCACTTTTAAGACATTGTTTGATGAATTTATGCGATACTAAAATTTTGTAAGGTAAAGTTAAGATGACACATGCTGCATGTGGGAGACCGTGTCTGTTTTGTTCAGACCAATACTTAGGTTTAGTAAATAGTAATTTTATTCTTTTTTCCTTTCAAAATGTATCATATACACACATTTGTACATTTCAACAGCCATTTCTTTTTGTTTTGTAATTAAAAACGAAAAAAGAAATCAAGGCTCAATAACTTTATCTGGCTCTACGAAACCCTGTGCCAGTTGTAATAAGTAATTATATAATTACGCCTTCATTGTTTTTTTGTTAAAAGCGTATGACTCCTCTGTGATTAGAGAAACGTACTGATTAGTTAAAGGGTTAGATACTTAATAGCATAGTTTATTCTGTCACGTCAACACAAGTACACCCAACAATAAAGAATTCGAACATTGCAATTAAAGATACCGGAACGAACTATTTATTCGAATAAAACGAACCATTTATTAAACTGAGAAAAACAAAATGGTTGAAGGCGACTTTGTATAATAACCGGCACATGTTGGGTATATATAAAGATTCATGATAACACCTATAAGAACATTAAGATATGATTTGGTAAGCCTGTTTTTTGATTATAAATAATTTATCTCAATGAGTAGACAGACAATTAGTACTTAATTATTATTACCCCTCAATCTTTTTTGCCTGGCTTACCAAATCATATCAATACATATGTTAATTTATGTCAATGCATATACAAATTCATATACTCATGATGCGAAAGAAACTATGTAATAGATGCAATGAAATGAGACGTTTTTCGGGTTTTATCGAAGGGGAAAGTTGGAAGGAAGGATGGGTGATGTGAAAGTTATTAACTTAGAAGAAGAAAGAAAGAGGTCCTTTGGGTGTGTGGGTAAAACATCACTTTCATGAACATGGAGAGATTTTAGGGTTTAGGGGTAAAAAGGTTAAATGATGATGTTACTGTTTTTATCTCTTTCTGCATAGTTATCTGGTATAGTTGCAAAAATCCGATCACACATCAAATAATTAATTGTGTGGTCTTCTTATTCATCAAAACTCATTATTCCCAACCGTACGGTACAACTACAAGCCCAACGCTCCCTGAAACAGGGCGTGGTGTACGTCTTTATACATTAAAAGCCTAAATTTCTACTTCTGTTCCATCCAAAAACATGTATCGGCTCATCCAATCATAGTCTGCTTTCGCCCTCGTTGTCTCACTGCATACCAAAGCAAGACTTTGTGTTACGTTTTGAACAGTGAGTTCATTTTAACAGGATCAAGAAAGGCACTCAAATGATCGTGGAAATTTGCGACCCGCTGTGTCTTAAGCAGTGAATGTAAAGAGGAAACTTGAAATAAAAGGATCAAGAAAGGGTATGATGCAATCGCTCTCACCACATTTCCGCATGAAGAATGCATTGTGATCAAAGCTCTCTCAAGTACATATTAATCAACAGCCTTGTCTCCAGGCAAGGTCGATGTGAAACTCAATCCGAAATCAATGAGTACATTTACCAGGAATCATCACTGATCCAGAGAACATATATTTCAGACTCTCTGAAGACATTTACCAGCTGATTTTTGCTGCTCCTGACTAACATGTTTGATGTGGTTAAGTCACTGTTAGCCAAGCCACCGTCATGGAGCTTAGCGAATAGCGATGGCCTCCCCAATCTGAGCAGCAACATCATCCAACCGTTCCCCTAACTCAGGGAAGGGGACAGCAAGGCGACGTCGATTGCAGAGTAAGCTTCCCTTTTGGAGTAGTTGTGTTGGGCCATAAAACCAGAGTCGGAAAATTTTGGATTTCTTTTTATATACCAATTCAGTAGTATTAACACTAATAAGCATCTAAAATGGAATAATCCTCTATATTGAGTCTTGATCGCATAACAGGGGTAAAAAGAAAAGCTAAAATGCAGTCACGCCTATCCTTGGAATTAGATTTGTAATTGGCAAAGGGAAAACAAACATTCATGTTTTGGTACATATCTATTGCCAAGAGATTCATAGAAGAGAGTGGTTGAAAGCTAATGAGATCTGCGGTTGACAAGTCTCTTGTGGATGGCTCTGATGGTGGTTGGTGTTGTGCGGCAGCAACCTCCCAGGAGAGACACACCTGCATCCATCCATTTCTCTACGTATGACACAAAGTCTTCATCCCCAACTCCTGTGTTTTCCTGCAACAGTTTTTGAGCAGCTCAGACAACTCTGCTCGTTCCTCTCTAACCAAATACTGTATATATGACGACTTACCACCCACTCCTTTCTATCAGCATCATAGCTTTCTCCGCTGTTTGGGTACACTAGTATGGGCTTGCTTGTCACCTACAAGTTATGCATGTACCTTTTAGGGTCTCTCTATAAATACAAATACCTAATGAAAGGGGATCCATTCCAAGCCGCACCTTTTCTATCTCCAAAACTAGCCCCTCGATGAATCTTGGAGGGGTACAGTTGATTCCAACCGCCACTACTTTCTCACAATTTTCAGCTATGGAGATACACTCCTTGATGGAATCCCCGCTAACCACGTTTACGCCATCCTTCGAGTTGAATGAAAACCACCCAGGAATCTTCACATCTCCCTCCTCTAACAGCTCAGCAAATGCCTTGCATATCACAGAAAGAAACACCCATCAGCAGCTAACATCAAAAATGGGAAGCTCGATATGAAAGGATAAATCTACTACAATATGTCAATTATCACGATGCTGAGGAACCATCGGTACCTGAGCCTCTATCTTGTTTGGAATGGTCTCAAATGCTATTAAATCAGCACCAGATTCCGCCAGAACTTGGAGTCGTCTGCGGTGAAAATCTTTCAGCTTTTCCAGCGTGATCGAATCACCATAGACTCCACTGATAGAATAACACAACTACCAAGAGTTAAAGATAGTTTTTAAAGGAGATAGTGCAGGAGTATATGAAATCCACAAAAAGCAAAAATCAAATCTGAATAGGACAAGTGATAAGAGCTTTTGAAACTGGTTCCAACCGAAACTCATATCATCTACTAGTTTAAATGTGTAAAAGAAAAATGAAGCAATGACCTGTATTCAGACCCATCAGCCAAGTATGCACCGTAGCTACCAACTGATGCTGCAACTAATATAGGCCGCTTTTTAAGAATCTTATCATCCATGGAGGAGCTAGTTCCGCATTTGTCATAATACGTGTTCCGAGCTTCACAAGCTATTTCCACGCTCTTTCTAAGCAAAGATTCGCTCTTTTCTCTTGAAAAGCCCTTTGCTTCAAACCCCTGAATCGTGGCCTGTTCAGATTTATCATCAAACCACGTTGTTAGTGTCCAAAAAAGAGATAGATAAACAAAGGAAGATAGAAAGAGAGGGAGAAAGGGAGGGAGAAAGAACCTGATAAGAAGCGCTGGAGATGATATCAGCACCAGCTTCAAGGTAATCGAGATGCACCTGCTCCATCAGGAAATACAAGCAGCTAAGCAAGCTATATAATCCATCATATCAAATGGCAATGCGATCACTGGATAGCAAAACCAAATTGTAAACCTGTTCTATAAAGTTTTGAACTTAAATATAGCTACCTTCCTGACTCAAAATGCAAAAGAAATTTGGAAATTGAAAATGAGATTTTACCACACTATGAAGCAATATGAAGACTAAAAACAACCAAAAGGGCTTAGGGTTCACAAGTTTAAATATTATCAATGGCAGTTGAATCAGTAATCTTCTATATCTGCTTAATAGCAAAAGTGTTCAAACGTCCCTGGAGCAACCAACCATTAATGGAAATGAGAATGCTCCAACTTTTGGGTACCCATGGCATTCAATCAAATGAATCAAAGTAAACCTAAAAATCTAGGGTTTATTCAAAGACAAAAAAAGGCTTTTGTGCAGCAGCTGGATTTTCCGGAAACGTTCGATTTAGAGATTTCACTGACAACAGACTTGGAGAAATGAAAAGGATAGAGATAGAAAGAAAGAGAAAGGATTTACTTACTGTGTGAATGAGGTGAGGAGAAGTGAGGAGGCATTTGGCGCTCCAGAGAGGATCGTTGAGATCTGCTCCATGTCTCTCGAACTCCGTTGCAAGCCCGCCGTCTATTACCGCATAGCCGCCTGTCTGCTTCAGGAAATCTTTCATCGAGCAAAAAGAGTTTCCGGTCATCTTCTGAGGAGTCGACTCGGACCCTATTTCTTTCCCAACAACTCCCACTCAAGAAGCGTCTGCTACTGTGTACGAGAAAACAATTACTCTCTGTAGAGAAACAACCAAAAAAGGTAACTAGTTTTGTTTACAAGCGTTACAAATTGTAGTTTTAGACCTTTATCTCCAATACTAATAACAAAATCGGCCCAATCCTTTTCTCTCTTACCTCCAGACCCCCTCTGCTTAGTAAGTTTTAACTCTCTGTTTTTCTTATCAGATTTTGATCATCAGTTTACGTGTACATCTATGAAATTAGAATCAACATCATCAGACCTGCAAGGAGTGAGACATGACCCCATCAAAAAAAATCAAGCTTTATCGATTTATACACAGACTGTGTTTAGTATAAAATACATAGAGAGCAGTAAGATTCTTATGACAAAACCCACACCAATCCAACTCCCATATCTCAAAGTTTTACAAAAATCCAAAGAATCACGCAGCTCTCAAGAATATCATCAGACACGGAGCAAAAGGAAAGAGAGAGAGAGAGATCAGGATTCAGGGGCCCCGAGGTTTGAAGAAACAGAGGCACCCCTGAAACTGGTCTGGAGCTATCATTCCACCGCCTTTGCTTGTGTCTATGGCTTCCAGCAGCTTCACCACCTCCTCCATCTCCGGACGCTTGTCTGGATTCGGGTCCCAGCATCTCTTCATGATGTTTGCCACCGCATTCGGGCAGCATTTCGGAATCTCTGGTCTCAGATTCTGAGTAAAAGATGCACCAAACAGTGAGGTCATTAGATTTCCTGATTAGCTTTAACATTGGAGAGATTGTAGAGACTAGAGAGAGAGATGAAACCTTATGAACGACGGCGTGAGAGATCTCAGCAAAACTACAATCAGCATAGGGCATGTCACAGCAGTATATTTCCCAGAGGCATACCCCAAAGCTATAGACATCGCATTTCCTGTTGTAAGGCTTTCCTTCAAGAACCTATGCACCAAAAGCTAACATTTTCATTTCCCTATTACGAAACACAAGGGTTTTGGCTGTACAGGAAAATACATACCTCTGGTGCCATGTATCCAAGTGTTCCAGTTTCACCCGTCATGTCTTGAGGGTTCTGAGCTTCGACTCTAGCTACCCCGAAATCAGCGATCTTCAGCGTCTTGTTAGGTTGTAACAGCATGTTCTCTGACTTGACGTCCCGATGTACAATCGCCTTGGAGTGGAGGTAGCTAAGCCTGAGACAAAGAAAAAAAGGTAGGAAGAGTTTTGTTGATAAAGGATGCATCTTTGTCTGAATAGTTTCAGATATGAATGCCAAATCAGGAGTTTAAGCAAAGAAGAGAAGAGAGAGATTACCCTCTGGCGAGATCCAAAGCGAGCTGAATGACATCCTTGATGGGTAGTTTGGCCCTATATTTCTTGATGAGGAACTTCTTGAGCGTGCCTCCGGCAACATATTCAACCACAACACAACAGGCCCTCGCAGGATGTGCACCGTTACCACGTCCGCCAGTATCACCAGCAGGAGGGATCCGCAGATCAGAGGTTCCCATGGATGCTCCTATAAACTGCCAGAGAGAGAGAGAGAGAGAGAGAGAGAGAGAGTTAAAACACGAATAAGTCGTTGGTTTGATCAAAGGACTTCTACCATTGGAGTGGAGTGAATGTAAAAAGAAGGAATACCTTAGTAACGTTGGGATGATCGAGCTTCTGCCAGACGGCGACCTCTTGCTCGAAGGAAGTACGCAGAGCTGCAGTTTCAGCTGCGGTGGCGTAACCATCTTCTCCCCAATCTAATACTTTGACTGCAAAATCATATCTCATCAGATGGGAAAATTATCTAAATCAATCTCATATCTTTCTAACGAGAGAAAAGACTTAGGACCTGCGACGTCTTGGCCGGCGTAGACACCGCGGTAGACAGTGCCGTAAGTGCCGTGAGCGAGGACGTGCTTCATATCGAGTTTGGAGAGGTCAATCTCCCATTCCTGCATCGCCGGTGCCGGAGCGCTCGTCGAAGCGGAATTATTGGTGACGACGCTGCTACTAGAGGTTTGACCCATATGCAAATCCCATTTACTGAAATCCAGTTTATCGGCCCTGAAGTATCGTTCTTCTCCGGCGCTCCTGCTCCCAGCACCGCCTAATTTGGGATCCGCGGACCCGGACCCGATTTCAAGTGATTTATCCGCCTCTCCGCCGCCAGAGGCCATTGGTTTCTCTCCGGCTTCCTCCTTTGCTGGAGTAGGGCTTGAAGAACCACCCACCAGTAATACAATACTCTTCGATCCAAAACCCTAAATTAAGCTGTTCAATCAGTGAGTTGAGGGGACAAACCTAGGGTTGGTTTTTTTTTTTTTTTGAGAATTTCAAAATTATGTGGTGGAGAGAGAACAGGACAAAAGACAAAAGAGTTGAGAAAGAAGAAGAACAAGTTAAATCGATTGAAGGTGGTGGTCTCCACAAAATAAAAAAAAAGAAGCCCTTTTTATAGTTGTCTTTGAGAAGAAGAGAGGATCGGATCGGCGGTGGAGTGGGAGAGACCAAATCTTTAATGTCTTTTTGACAGTTTCACCGGCCAATGAATCGTTTTGTTGCCCTTTTCCAATTTTATAAAAAAAAACTCTCTCTTGCAAAAACAGAGCTGTTGTCTGTCTTTCGTTGGCTTCTGATTTTTATCGGTCTAGTGACATCCCCTCCGTCGCCGTTTATTCGTTTTCCCCCAATTTTCAACGTCTCTTTCGAACAATGGAACAAGTGAAACCGTGAAAGTTATTTATCAATTTCTTGTAAATTTACATTCGACTTAAAATACTAGTATTTATACATCGAGAAACGAACAACTTTTTTTGGTTTGTGACGCAATCTATCGAAACCAAAGGTCCACTTTGATAACCGCATCACGACTCTCTCTTTAAGATTACTACTTAATTATATATTCATAATAATAAAGATATGTAATCAGATTACGTAATTGTTATAGACTATACTTTTATAGTTTGTCATGTGAATATGTTGGGAATCTTCGTCCGTCTTTACTTGTCAGCACAAAGAACCAAAACCGAGACGCATCCACCAGAGCATATACCTTTTTGTAGAATAACCTTTTCAACGCAGACAGAGAATAACCCAACAACTCAATAGTCAATACTAAAAAGAAAACACCAAATTTTTTATAAACAAAACAATATTTACATTGCCAAACCCAACTCCTCTCAAAAGATTGGTTCACAAGGTAAGGTAAAATCACACTTAAGGATGAATCGATTTGTGTGGGTCCAACTGGCAATGTTTTCATCAAGCATGATGTTGATCTGGTGTTTGATACCTGAAGAAAAGTTTCATAACATTCCTTTTGTCGGATATTTCTCCGGCCACCAGTAAAGTGACGCTGGATGGTTCGACCGGCTTAGTACGGCCTTTTGAGAAGAGATGAACATGTCAAATTCCCAAGGTTAAGATCCTCACCTAAGCAAATACTCAGTCAGATATCCTCTGAGCTCACTACCAAGCGGCTCGCTCTGCTTGCAGTACCGGTCTGCATAACCGGAGTCGTGATGACCAGACAAAGGAACATCGTCTTGAAGATAATCCCCACAGTCGATTATGATGTTATGCAACAAACAACACACCAGTATTATACTAGGTAGCTTCCTCCTGTCTGGTCTCCACATTACTTTGCTCAGAATCCTCCAGCTTCCCTTAAGCTGTTGAAAGGCAGTAGTTGCGACTGACCTGACCTTCTCATGCCTGTCACTGAACGCCATCATGGAATCAGAGGGATCATTGCTGTCATGAGGAGTTATAAGCCAAGGAAGAAGCGGGTAACTGATCCCTCCAACTACGTATTCTCTTATCTCGGCTCCTTCACATAGAGTTTTAGCATTTCCGTCTAAAATCTGACCGTTTTCACAGAGTTTGAAGAAGCCAGAGAACTTGAGAAGCTTGGAGACGGTCATGCCGCCAGGCCAGCCGGTAACCATGTTGAGAAATCTCATTTCGTGATCAAAGACTCCTTGTAAGAACATGCTGTAGTTCTTCTCCTGGTCACACCAGTCATCAGATGCTTGCACAGCAGGGAGAGTCATGATGATGTGCGTTGTATCAATGGCTCCGCAGCAATTGGGGAGACCGTACATCTCCTCGAACTTTGACTTGATCTCTTCGATTCGGTCAGAATCTGGCCATCTAAGATGATGCTTGGCACGTTCTTCAAGTGCCTCGATGAATCTCCATGTAACCTGGGGAAAACAAATGTTGTCAGGATGCAGAATTTATTCAAATCACAATTTCTACCTGGGGAGTTTTGCTACCTGAGAAACAGTGGATTGGCCAACACCAAAGGCAGCACCTACGGAGACCTGAGAATCACCGGAGGCCAACCTTCTAAGAGCAATGGCGACTTGTTTCTCAACACTAAGAAGCCTTCCTTCGATGTTGATGAGTCCAGAGGGAGGTCTAGAGATAAGATCCTCCCTGACGAGGGAACAAATGTAGCTAAAGGTAGTCTTAGAAGCCCTAAAGAAGTGCTTGAACGCATCATCTTCGTCTAAGGGGATCGAAACACCTGAAAATAACTACAATCTCAGTTCAAACAACCCTAGAGCTACAAGAATTTCACCATCTCGAAGCTAACAGGAGGGAGTCTATGAAAAAGCATGGAACAATCTAGAGAAGGATTAGCAACGACATTGACTTGTGGTAACTGAGGGGAGAAGAGGAATTATCTCAAAAGCGAGGGGAGGGAAATAGAAGAGAACCTGAGAGAGAAGAGTTTCGGAGCCAGAAAGTATCCCACCAGTCGCAGTCGATAGCCTCCGGATCCAAAGGCACTGCGTTGACTCTCTTCTTGTCTTTCTTCTTCGATTTCTTCGCCAAATTTTTCGCCTTATCCAGAGGCTTCTTCTTCTTCTTCACCGGAGCCATCGACGACGACGGGTCGAGCCGGGAGAGAAGCGGTTCGTTTCCCAGGACACGACAGGAGAGAGTCGACGGACGGAGGTGGAAGAAGAAGGGTAAAAATGGGAATTTGAACGTCGCTTGCTTGCTGGACTCCAGTGGGCTTTCACCTCCTAACGAGCCCACTGGGCCATCTCGATTCGTGCACATCTTTAATAGTTTTCAAAAAAACATTTAAATAAAAATTACCTTTAAAATTCATTATATTATATAGCCCATCTTTAAAAAAATATGTTTTTGCTAATTGGAATCGCTTTTTCAACAACCAAAAAAAACCTACAATTTTCAGTTACAGATAATAATTGCATACAAAAAATGGCTGTACGTTACTTAAGCTACTGGAGCAGCAAAATCATTTTTACTAGAAAAGAGGACTGAAAAAAGGAAAGTTTTGTATTTTTCTAAAATAGAAATTGAGCAAATTCCAAGGAAAATCTCATAATTTGAAATTTAGAAGGGGAAATTGTTCTTTTGCCGCTCTCGGACGAATCGTCTGGTCTGGTTCTTTTTTCCTTCTTCTTCGTCTTTGCTTTTCTCTCTCTCTCAACTTTCAACTTTTTTTTGGCCTTAAGAAAATGATTTAATCTTTTGATAAAGTTTCCATCTTTGGTGATATAATACAAATAGAGTAGTAATTTGATTCCCTTGTGCTCATCCACCACGGTGTCGGTACGATTGAAGCTCCTCCAAGAGCCGTAGAGGTATACTATAATATTTTATTAATGATGATGATTACGGACAGGAGCTGGTTCCCACTTTTTCGCTGTTTATGAAATTTACTCTCACTGTTTGATGAAAGCAATCATAAATCTCGCTGAAAGCTACCCTTTATTTGTTTTAATCTTTAATTTGGTGCATGACTTGACACTGATTGGATTGCCTCCTCACCTCTGTATCTAGCACTTTGTCCATGTATGTATACTCTTTTTTTCTTTTCTTTTTAATTTGTGTGTAGTTTTCATCTGATAAGTCGGACTTGTTTTGTTATATGGTTTTTGTTTTGAAGACTTCTCTGGTGAAATTTCAAGCAAGTGTGTGTTTGTTAGATGGAGCGGTACGAAGTCTTGGAGCAGATCGGGAAAGGGTCCTTTGGCTCTGCTCTTCTTGTCAGACACAAACAAGAACGCAAGAAGTATTCTATTCTCTCTCATTCATTCTCTTCTTTTGCTTCTCTCTCTATCGCTCTTGTTGCTCCTGGTGATTCCATTGCTCTTGTCATCTTCACTACTTTACAGATACGTTTTGAAAAAGATTCGTCTCGCCCGCCAGTCTGATAGGGCTCGCCTATCAGCTCATCAGGAGGTTTGCTGTTTTTTTTTTCTTTTTTTTATTCCACCAAAGTTGGTGGTCTTGGATTAAGATGATGAGTTTGGACCTCCCCCCACTCATGTTTCAGATGGAGCTCATTTCTACTGTCCGCAATCCATTTGTTGTCGAGTACAAAGATTCATGGGTTGAAAAGGTCTCTTCTTCTCATCATCTCCTTTTGCTCATTCTTCTTCTCGCTGCTTGCTCTAATCATCATCTTTCTTGTTTCCAGGGTTGCTATGTCTGCATCGTTATTGGATATTGTGAAGGCGGAGACATGTAACACACAGTTTTTCCCCATAACAATTTTTTTTTTATTTTAACAAATTGACTCTTATTTTCAACTTGAATTTTGCAGGACAGAGACCATAAAAAGAGCATGTGGTGTTCATTTTCCTGAAGAGGTTCGTCTCACCCATCTTTTCTTTGCTAACTCTTCCGATCTTACGATCTATGAGAAACAACCACTAAATGTTGCAGAAACTCTGCCAATGGCTTGTCCAACTATTAATGGCACTCGATTATCTTCACACCAACCATATTCTTCACCGTGATGTCAAGGTAAACATGCAACTTCATTAACTTTCAGAATTTTGCTCCTTTCATGTTCCAACCATCTAAATCTCGCTCACATGTCTTTTCAGTGTTCTAACATATTCTTGACAAAAGAGCAAGACATACGGCTTGGTAAGTTTGTAGATTCATTTATCTTTAAGCCTTTTTGTCAGTTACTAACGCATCCACAATTTCGGTCTCAGGTGACTTTGGACTCGCTAAGATTCTAACTTCTGATGACCTTACATCCTCTGTAAGTTTTGAACAGTGACATTAAGCAAATCTTGTGTTGTTTTTGAGACAGAGTTATGATAAGTCAGTGTGTTCATAGGTTGTTGGAACTCCAAGCTACATGTGTCCTGAGCTTCTTGCTGACATACCTTACGGATCAAAGTCAGACATTTGGTCTTTGGGTATAATAACTATACATTCTTCTTTGATTTTTTTTTTTACTTATAATCCACACTTGTTCACCTTGTGACTAACGCTTAATGCATCATCATGGCAAACAGGATGCTGCATGTATGAAATGGCTGCTCATAAACCTCCATTCAAAGCTTCCGTAAGTATCCTTAAAGTTTGTTGATCTTTTAATCTTGATTTTGGCATTAATATACATAATCTAAAATGTGAAATCTTGATTGCAGGATGTGCAGACATTGATCACCAAAATACACAAGTTGATAATGGATCCTATTCCCGCCATGTATTCCGGCTCATTGTAAGCCTGAAATCATTTCCTCTGTTAACATTAAGCGGCGTTGCTGTACCAACCCCTAATCCTCCCTTATCTGCAGCCGAGGCCTTATCAAAAGCATGTTGAGGAAAAATCCTGAACTCAGGCCAAGTGTATGGCTCCTGTAATGCTTATTTGATTTTGATGATGAGTAATCCGTTTCTGGTTAATCTGTAGATGAACTAAGCATTGTTTTTAACTCACTGCAGGCTAACGAGCTGCTTAACCATCCTCATCTTCAGCCTTACATCAGTATGGTTTATCTGAAGCTAGAGAGCCCCAGAAGAAGCACTTTTCCACTCCAATTTTCTGAGAGTTGCGCTACAGTGAAGGAAAAAAGGCGTTCGTCATTCAGCAATGACAGGAGATTGAATCCGAGTGCCTCTGATACAGAAGCAGGCTCTGTTTCTTCTTCAGGAAAAGCATCTTATTCACCAATGTTTAATGGAAGAAAAGTGTCAGAAGTAACTACTGTGGGTGTCGTGAGAGAAGAAATTGTTCCTCAAAGGCAAGAGGGAGTCAAGAAGCAATCAGGTGCAGCCAGAACACCAAGAGTGGCTGGGACCTCAGTTAAAGCGTCTGGCATGCTAAGGAGGCTTGAAACACCGTCAAGCACGCCGCGTACTGTTTCCAAACATGAAGTGGTAAGAAAAAAAACTCAAAGCTTAAAGTAGTTGAGATACAATCAGGGAGTGATCTATATATGTTCTGTGCTGTGTACAGATGAAGGTATCGAATCCTACAGACATGAGAAGGAGAGCATCTCTTCCGTTGGTCGTGGAAAATCCTTACACTTATGAATCGGATGTCACTGCTCTTTGTGGCCTAAATTCACCGGATGTTTCTGTAAACGCTCCAAGATTCGACAAGATCGCTGAATTCCCTGAAGATGTCTTCCAAAACCAACACAGAGAGACAGCCTCAAGAGCAGTAGCTAGGCGCTCTTTTTCTTCTCCTCCTCGGCCTCATGGTGAGGACAATACCAACCGTTCGATCACGAAGGACAAATGTACTGTACAGACAAGGTCAGTTTCGGAGGTAAAACAGAGAAGGTTCGACACGTCATCGTATCAGCAGCGTGCGGAGGCTCTGGAGGGACTGCTGGAGTTCAGTGCAAGGCTTTTGCAGCAGGAACGGTACGATGAGCTTGGGGTTCTGCTTAAACCCTTTGGAGCCGAGAGGGTATCTTCGAGGGAGACGGCCATATGGCTGACCAAGAGCTTCAAAGAAGCTTCCGTGTAGACGAAGCAACCACAACCAGCGCTTTCTCTCTTGGCTTGGCTTGCTTTTGTCCTTCCTGTGTTCGGTTCGGTTCTGACTGCTTAAAACGGCATGTTATCCGATTGGCTAAGCTTGCGATTTGGGCCGTGTTGGGCCACTACGTTAGTGGATTGTTTTGGACATTTTGAAAATGTGTGGGTCGTTTCGTAAAGGTTGATAAAAAAAAAAAAAAAAAAGCGGGCTTCTTTCTTTTTGCAATAAAGTGATAAACATTACAAAACTTGTGTGTGAGAGAATTTAGCAGAAACGAGGAAATCGGGACCCACTGATAGTGAAAGGAGGGAGAAGAAATGGCAGAAGCAGAGATTCTTGAGCCCTATCAACTGTCCTTCTCGGATCTTCTTTTGTCCTCTCGCTTTCATTCTTCCTCTCCCAGAGACGACCGTAATCGCTGTCAATGGATCTCGAGAAATGTGATGGACGCTCTTGGCCCCACCGGTCCTGGTCTGCTTTGTATCACCGGCGTTCTTGGCTCCGCCCTTCTCCGCCGTAAACTCCTTCCTATGGCTCGGAAGCTGGCTCTGCTTGATCCGGACAAGCGGATACGCATTCTCAAGGTACTCCGCCGGCAATTTCAACCCTATTTCACAGATTTCCATTATATCCAAGTTGATTGGAACTTTGATTAATAGTTGGTTCATCAGTGATACTGACTGATTCTGTGTGTTTCATTCTTCGTTACTGCCAAAAAGGAGCACCACTTGGGTAGCGACGTTCCTCTCAAGAATCCAGAACGAGATGTCTCCTCTTTTGCAATGCAGCTCAATTATGAAAGAACAACTTGTAAATCTTCACTGGGAAAGCTGTGGTTCGATGAGGCTGTAGCAAAACTGGACTTGCACCAGGAGGATGATGAGTTCACTAATCTTGGTGGTGCTTTCAAAGAGCTAGGGTTCTGCATGAGGGAATTGGGCTTGTCTATAGCTCGTCTTTGCGACAGGGAGATTGGTGGAGGCTTGCTGGAGGAGAGTCTACTGGAATCTTGCACAGCCAAAGGACGTCTCATACATTACCACTCAGCTGCAGATAAATATGCTCTCAGAGAAGCCGAGAGGAGAAACCAATCTGGTAAACGAGTATCGAGTAAGAGGAGAGTCCAGAATGCTGCTGAGCAAGAGGGGAACCATAGAAATGGAGCTGGTTTGAGTGGGAGTCACTTCAATCTGTGGCAACAGTGGCATTTCGATTATGGAATCTTTACTGTTCTCACGGATCCTATGTTTCTATCATCGTATTCCTACCAGGAATGCACTTTGATGAGCAGCCACTCTTATCTGCAGATCTATCATCCCAGCAAGAACAAGTTCTACATGGTCAAGACTCCACAGGATAGTTTTATAGTTCAAATTGGAGAATCTGCTGATATTTTGTCCAAAGGGAAGCTACGGTCGACCCTTCACTGTGTGTGCAAACCAGAGAAGCTGGATCACATAAGCCGTGAGACATTTGTGGTGTTCTTGCAGCCAAAGTGGACCCAAACTTTCTCAGTCTCAGAATATACAATGGAACATCTAAGGTCAGATTCTCTACAGAGACAGCTCCCTGATACGGATGAGGTCCCTAGACCAGATATACAGAAAATTGTTACACCTCTATCGTCTCGGTTAAGGGATGGGATGACTTTTGCCGAGTTTTCTCGCGAAACCACAAAGCAGTACTATGGAGGGAGTGGTTTGCAATCTAATAGATAGCCGTCCTAGTTCGTACCCCAGGTAAATAGCTTGTCTAATCTTTAGGTAGTTAAATTCAGAATAATCTTTAGGTAATGAGTAGTTGAAGGCAAGAAGAATGAGCCACGAGGTTTAGTACTAATAGAGATTAGATTAAAGGGAGAGTTGGGATTCGTTATGTGTACTTCGATGTTGGAGCCAAAACAGGGGAAGCTGTTACATCATTTTCACAGTCAAAAGCTCTCTCTTTCAAACATGCTTTTTTGTTGTTGTTGTTGCTCTTCTTTAGTCTCTCTGTGACTCAGTTTATGTTCCTGTTGTGTCTCCCCCGATGCTGTTCCAAACTTACATCTCTTTGTTTGTTTGTGTGCTTTCAAGCGTCGCATTGAGACAAAGTGGTGTTATTAAAGTAAAAGCTGCCTCTACACAGATTCCTTTAGGGAATCAATCTTTTTTTTTTGTCATTTTTGATATATCGTTTTTTCATGAATGGTTTTTGTACGTGTAGATCAAATCGACAAAAGGGTTTAGCTCGCAAGTCTTTTCTTTTGTGAATTCAAAACAAAGTTTCAAACTTTCTCCTTTCAAAGATGCTTGCTTTGACTTGAGAGGTGCTTTTTGCATCCAAAGGGGACCTTGGTTTCAAAACTCTAATCTAACCATAGAAACGGATATGGTGTAGGTATGTAGGTGTCTATTGTAAGTAAATCAAAAGCAAAAGAAGATAGTAGCTAAAACTGAAAGTACTTTAAAGAAACAATAAAATGGAAAAGAGGGTTCATCATTCAAAGTGCAGATACATTCAATGTTAATAGGTATAAAATACAAAACGTCCAAACAAGAACAATGATTGCAAGGCAAAGGAATAATCAGAGAGACAAAATGACATTTTTCTAAGGGATTTGATTATAAAGAATGGAAAATGTGGGTATCCCTAGAAATTAGACAGAGCAAAAGGGAATAAAGGATGTATCTTTATTAAGTGGTCATCCACCTATAGTTTCCAAAGTGCATATATATTTAATATAGATACACATGATGATATTTTGAATTATCCGATAATATACGTGTTTATAGATATCAAAATGCTCTAATATTAATGTGTATATATATATATTGATCAACAATCACATGTTAATTTGTGCAAAGATGAAAGAAAATCAAAAGTTTTGATTGTGTAGCCTGAAGAAAACCTTGGATATATAGTATTGGAATGAATAATTGCCAAGTTGTGTCATTGAAGTGGAAAAGAGACAGAGAGAAGAAGGTGACGTAAGGGAAAGCACGCCAAGGCAGCATGTGTGAATGTACGCAAAGGTCGCAGCTTTGTGTTTCAAAACCGAAGCAAAAGGGACCAAATTCTGAGACTGATTGATCATCAAACACAGTCGTTTCACTTCTTTACTCTCATCTTTTGTCTTCCTCCCATATTCTCACACCAATTTTCAGCCATATCCATTAGTTAACCAACAAAACATTCTCTAGTCGGGTACAAATCCAGAGAGTAATCTCATCTTTACTCTTTGGTCCATTGTCTATAACAATAAACCAATTTCATCCTTGATTGATTAAGACACTAAAAAGTAAACATTTATGCTTTTCTTGATTTTTGAAACACAACACTAAACGCAGATTCAACTCTCTTTTTTTTTTTTGTCAATTGAAACATAAATGTCTTATAACCTATTACTCAGGTATACCAATGTTGTGATTATTTATTTGATTAAATTAAGAAAGGCAAACACATGGATGACTTTATTCCCTCCTTTTTTTCAAGACTCTTTGATAAAGTAAAATTTGTGTAATAAACAATTGGCAAAGATGCGGCCTTATTATTGAAAAGGGACGTCTTTTTTAGTATCCATTATTTACGCAACGACTATATATGCCAAGAGTACTACTACTACTCTCATCGAAATAATCACATTTTCTTTAGGAGAAAAAGAAAAGGTAAAACACCACCTATACGTTCTTTGTCTATCTATAGTTTCTATATATATTTACACACACAAGTTTCCTAGTCAAGCTCTGAAGTCGAAGCAAAGTCAAGAGAGAGAGAGAGACAAAAAAAAGGATGGAGAGAGAACTTAGACGACCGAACCCAATCAACAGCTCTCGCCGGCCGGAGATATTTTCTTCTGGCGCTAGTAGTACTCAACTACCGGAAAGCCCACGAGGCCCAATGGAGTTCTTGTCTAGATCCTGGAGTGTCTCCGCCTTGGAAGTCTCCAGAGCTCTCCACACAGCCAAATCAGCTTCGGCCACCAACAGGCCTCCCTCATCCATTAACACTCCGATACCGGAAGAAACGTTAAACCCTGAGAAAGAAGAATGTCCGCCGGAGAACACAAGCAACAATAGTAGTGTTAGTAGCCAGTTCTCGTTCGCTGCCTCGGCCACTTCACAGCTTGTTCTTGAGCGCATAATGTCTCAATCGGTACGGTTACATAGTTTTGGATACACTCTGTTTTTGTAGCAGCGATCTTGATGAGTTTCTGTTTTGAAAAATGAAGGAGGTGTCACCGTTAACGTCGGGGAGGCTATCACACAGCAGCGGCCCACTCAACGGCGGCGGTTCTTTTACGGAGACAGACAGTCCTCCCATCTCCCCCTCTGATGACTTCGACGACGTCGTCAAGGTACTTGTGCACTATAAACCTTGTTCATCATTTTTATCTCTTGTACTTTGAACGTAAGTCGCATACAGTACTTTAGAGTTTGTTATCAAAGTAAAGAAAATATATGATAGTCAAGAGAAAAAGCAGAGGCAGAAGAAACTTTCTTTTATTTTTTACAGACAAGAACAGATTTGACTTTGACTCTCCACTTTACAACCTGTGTTTGTTTACTTTAGCCTATCACTCACTTCACCCACATAAAAAAAAATTAAATATTTGTTTGCTTCCCATTCATTCATGTATATTAGTAGTTAGTACTAATAGATGACCAATCTTTAGTTGGTAGAAAGTCTCCTTAAATTTAAGGAAATGCTGCCAGGGATTAGCCTTCTGGGTCTTGGGACTATAAAGTAAAGCCGGTCGGCGATCATTAAAGCGATAGATTGATAGTTATGCAGTTTCAAAGTTTTTTTTCTTCTATTGAATGCTCTGTCTCTACTGCATTTACTAGATGAATTGGGATTCATAAAAGATTAAAGACATATTTAGACACAGGAATAGGAATGTGACCATAACGCCTAGAACTCTATGTCTGGCTCATTTTAAGAAACTTGTCGGGAAATGCTCTTAGAGGGCAGTCACTTTACCTCCTTTTCCAAGCAATTAATAACCCTTCCTTTGCTTTTGTAGTCAAATATAATGCGATCAACTTGTTCGAATGTTCATTAACTTAGCTTATCTAATCCAATCCTAATGCAGTATTTTCGCACCCACAACACCATACAGCCTCTCTTCTCCGGCACAGGAGGCAGCCGTGGTACCACTGGAAATGGGAGCAATACCCCCATGGCTGGAACCGGCCCAAAGACAGTTGGTAGGTGGCTCAAGGACCGTAAGGAAAAGAAGAAAGAAGAGACTAGAGCTCAGAATGCACAGGTCCACGCAGCTGTTTCTGTTGCAGCGGTTGCATCTGCCGTGGCAGCTGTTGCAGCAGCCACAGCTGCTTCTTCACCTGGTAAAAACGAGCAGATGGCCAGAATCGATATGGCCATGGCTTCTGCGGCTGCTCTGGTGGCTGCTCAGTGTGTGGAGGCTGCAGAAATCATGGGAGCAGAAAGGGATTTTCTGACTTCCGTTGTGAGCTCTGCAGTGAATGTTAAGTCCCATGACGATATTGTCACCCTTACTGCAGCTGCTGCAACAGGTACTGCATGACAAGGTAGTCAAAGTTACTTCTGTAGAGATTCCATACGTGAATTCACCCTTTTTATTTTGCAGCTCTGCGAGGAGCAGCTACACTCAAGGCAAGAGCGCTTAAAGAAGTATGGAACATAGCTGCAGTATTACCAGCCGAGAAAGGAACAAGTTCAGCTTTGTGTGGCCAGGTTGACACAAAGCACAGTGATAGCAGCTTTAGTGGAGAATTACCTGTTGCTGGGGAAGACTTCCTTGGCGTCTGTAACCAGGAACTACTAGCTAAAGGCACTGAGCTCCTCAAACGAACTCGTGGAGGTACTCCCAAGCTACACTCGTATAAATGATTTGTGAACAGAGTATAAAAGAAGGGTCGCTGACCTTGAACTTTGAAAGCAGGTGATCTCCACTGGAAGATTGTCTCTGTCTACATCAACAAAGCAGGCCAGGTTGTGCTGAAAATGAAAAGTAAACACGTTGGAGGGACCTTCACAAAGAAGAAGAAACGTAGGTTCTTCTTTGCACAAACATCTCCTCTCTTACACTAGCCTGGCTTTTGAACTAGAGCTAAAAAGATAATACAACTCATAATTGATTTGGCCTTGTAATGCAGATATGGTGCTTGAAGTGAGAAAGGATATACCTGCATGGGCAGGCAGGGATCTTTTCAACGGAGACAAGTATCATTACTTTGGCTTAAAGACGGAAACAAAGAGGGTCGTTGAATTTGAGTGCAGAAACCAAAGGGAATACGAGATATGGACTCAGGGCGTTTGCCGCCTACTTGCCATTGCTGCTGAGAGGAAGCATAAAAGTTCCATGTCCAAATGGATGGCACCTTAACAACATAAACTAGGAGAGAAGTAGATGCTTTGTCGAACGAAGTGCTTATGATAAGAATAGGTTTAAACATAATGGAGCAGAAGACATTCCCTTTTGTAATATCTTGTTTATTCCATTGATTGAAGAGACATGACTTCTAAAGCTAACAACATTCAGAAGTACAATGTATTGGATTCCACTATCATGTTACAGGCAGCGATCAACTTATCTTTACAAGCCAAATTTGTTTTTGCAGACAAAAGAATTTTAGAAGATAGCAATAATAACATAGTCTTACGAGCAATCTGAAAAAGACAAGAGTGCCTTAACTATCAGCAGCCCTTAAAAGAGTGAGCAGAGATAGGAAAAGATTAATGACATCCAAATAAAGAGAAACTGCAGCCCAGATGTACTCGTCATAGGAGTGCCTCTTGATCAAGTTGTCGGTATCATATACAATGTAGCCACAGAAGATGATGGATGCCAAACAACCATAGATCATCACTGAGATCTTTCCTAAAGGGAAGAGAATCTGCAGCCAGGATAGAATTAGGCTGTAATTGTGGAAGAAGAGAAGAAGATGACGGATACGATAGATACCTGGATGAAGGAAAACACCATGAGGACAATGACAGCACCGAACAAGAAAGGTCCGAGGAAGTTGAAGTCATGGCCTCTTTTGGCAGCCCAGAAAGTGTAGAGAGTGAGGGATATGACCACAACAGAGGTCAAAATCACAGATTCCAGAATCACCTTCCCTGTAATCAAACCAATCACGCACGTTAGGGAATGAATAGGGAGGAACGAAAACAGCATCTTCTTTGTCAGTGGATCATACATACCGCTTGTAAAGGCGCAGGTCAAGCCAACCGCAAAGGCAAGAGCGACGGTGAAAATGCCGAGCAAGAGATAGTTCACAGGGTGCTTCTGGTGATAGTAATACAATGGACACATAACTGCACGCAAAAACGACAAAGCAGATCAAAGAGAGTCGGAGGAGAGATGGAATTGAAGGGTCAAAATCCCGTTTCAGAGTGAGTAGTACCAATCAATGGAGTGAAAATAACAAGTATGTAGAGAGCGAAGCCGGCGGTGGTGGTGGTGAAGAAAACAGAAATAGAATGAACCTTCACGACGGTGGCAGCGACGGCGATTGTAACGAGTAACTGGATGGAGATGATTGAATAGACCTTGCGGATGAAAGACCATCGGAGCTCGGGGCTCTCCAACATCATCGGGTATAGAGGCGTCTGAGCCGACTCCAAATCATGCTTCTGGTTCCACATCTTCCCAATTCGTTTTTTTTGTTTTGTCAACGCCGGCGATTGAGAGCGATCCCGGTTCCTCCTTGAAGAAGAAGATATGTATAGACGAAGAGAGAACCTTCCCGATACGTCGCGCAATTAACAATTTAATCAGACGGCTCTGATCTTGACACCTGGATTTAAATATTCGGTGGGCCGGACTCTGAAGAGAGAAACAACGTTAATGATGCATTTAATTCGGCCCATATCCATTGGATTTGCTTCTTTTCACATCATTCATTGGCGTGGGTTGGATTTTGCCAAATCCAATCATTATGAGTTCCCCTTAAATAAAAACCAACTTGTTCACATTCCCCGTCCACATACATATACATACTTTGAACTAAAATTGACTTCTTATACTATCATGTTCCAACTTACAAACAAAACAATTATGGCTTAGACCAAAAAAATTAACGAAGTCAATGATAAGAAAAGAATGCACACATATTTGGTCATAGCTTAGCTTTCATGATTAGTTCAGTAATCTTGATTTTCCTGGTAAAAAAAATTAGATGCACCTACAAGGTATGAGTTGTAATTGAATGTTAGTGCATTAGATCCACGAAAAAAAAAAAACATAAAACAAGATTGCAACGAGGTGACAGTAGTCAGTCACTTCACTTACCAGAGAATGAAGCGGAAGAGACTACCAGTATGCAACTCACCCATATGATGCATTAAGGTTCTCTGCCATATGAAAGCTCTTGTTTTCTACTTCAACCTACAATTACAAGGTTGACCAATTTTATTATTAACTTGTACCCTTTCCCTGGCCGATAGTACAAGCTTCTCGAGTTAGCTGTACACATTTGTTTTGTAATTTCTTGGGAACATACCAATAACTCGTTAAACATGGTTGGAACTGGTTGAGCCTGCTTCAATTGCAATGCACCAAAAGTTCTATCTGTTGAAAAAAGATATATATATATATATATAAACATGACTGACTACGTGAAAGATCACTCTCTATCCCATAAGGAACATGTTGGGCAACCCCGTTGTGATCAGAGAAACTCACATGGCAGTGCATATGTACTCTTCATCTGCAATCCCGAAGCAAACTCATCTATGTTGCCACCCACATATTGCTCTTTTGGTTGGCTCTGCCAGTCTATATTGGATTGTAGAGGAACCACGACTGCAGCCATATTATCCATACTTCCCTTCTCAAAGGCAGTATTAACCAAGCAGTCTGCCAAAGAAACTGAGCAATATGAAGGCACTCCTGCTCCAAAGCTAGTTTGATTCTTTACTTCCCACAGACGATCGCATACATCTTGCACCTCTAACTTCTCAAAGATACCATCAGATGACACTACCAAGTAGCTGTCATTAGCCAGTAGAGGCTGCCAGTCCATCACCTCAGGTGCAGAGATGACACCGTAACTGAAATAGATTTCAAAACTCACATTTCATCTTCTCATAGTGTAAAGCAGCTAGAATCAAGTTCTGAGAGATTCTAAGATACAACTAGCAATGCCTACCTTTTATAAGTAAGGTCACCAATTGAATGGGAGACGGCCAGCTGACCATTTACCCGTGGCACACCGGCCCACTCAGTGACATAACCTCCTGCAGCTTTAACGCGGAGCATTTCATCCTCTCTATCTGGGTGATGGTCCTTAGTCAATTCTTTGGCAATAAAACGTATGAGTCCATTGCGATGTTCCAGCTTAAAATCAGAGAACCTTGATGAGGAAGAGTCTCGATTGCGCTTACGCTCTCTGTACAACTTTATTGAAGTAGCTGCAATAAACAAACACCAAAGAAGAAACATTCATTCATTCCCCTATACTCTTAAGTACAATAGTGGCTTCACAAGGTTGGTTATAGTCTAAAAAGGGATTTTGCAAACCTCTAGCCTCTTCAGGAGTCTCAAATTTTTCGGAACACAAAAGTGCCTTAGAATCACCGATGCTAGCAACCAGTAGTTGACCATCTGCGGTAAGTGCAACTGTGGCCGTTGAACCTGAATCCAACTTTCGGTTAGATGCTTCCTGTATTACAACAGAGTCTAATCACGCTACTGGAAAAAAAAAGAAAGGATAGAGTAGAAGGCGTGACTACTACACCTTAGTAAATGTTGCATCAATATCGTGGATAGCTCTGAGCAAGGCTTCTTTCAGAATATCCAAGTGAAGAGAATCACCAAAATTGAGCGGCAATGAATCTTGGAACCTGTGAAAAATTGAGACAGGGATTCAAAACCACATCTGGTGGGAGAGAGTAAACATTCCCTGTCAGTGTCACGACTACCTTTGGAAATTGAGGTCGTATAGATGCATGAGAGGATTTGGTAGCGTTCCAGAGAGCTCCTTGGAAAATGTGGCGTCGAGGAGAAAGTAAGTGTGGAGAGCAAAATAATCCAACAAAAGTTGTGAAGCCATCTCACTGGCTTCTGCACCATTGTGGCCGTCAAAGACAGCGGCGATTCCAACCACAACATCCGTTGGTGTTCCAGTCTTCTTGCCTGCGAATGAATCATCTTATCTTTGGGGAATCAAAAACAACTAATTCTCTTGGCGATCCCAAATCAAGCAACTGATGCATACCGGGAAAGGGAATGCGAAGATCAAGAGCGCAGAGAAGACGATCCTCCTGGTATTTCCTCCGACCTTGAATCGCCGCCGTATGGCAACGACTGGTGGAGGAGGACAAGGATCGGCGATTCTGGAGATTCCAAAGAGGGCAATTGGGAGATCGGAACACAGCAGGAGCTCCACCATGTTTGTAAATACTCAAACAGGTTGTTGAAGATTCCGCGGCAACGTTGTTAATAATTACAAGCATAAATAAACAAAGTTTCAACATTTTTCACCACCGACGTCATCTCCCGTGAAAAAAAAAAACAACTCATATTTTCTACCACGCTTATTTTTCTTTACCAACCTAATTTTAGGTATCAATTTACAAAAAAAAAATTATGGACAACAAATTAGTTACAAAAGGTAAATTAATTTCTCTCCCTTATACGAAAGACAAGAAGCTTTTAGAAAAAAGAAAAAAAAAAAAAAAAAAGAGTTATTTTTCAGGTAACTTGGATGGATGCCCTTTGATATCTACAAAATCTTCCCTTGCTCGTTCCAACCTTGTTCCTACATAATCCACAGTAGCTCATATTCCTTTTTTACATTCATCGTTATTTAACTTTACACACTAGAGTTTTGCTTCTTATAATTTCAGTTACTGGGAACTCTAATATTTCAGCATTACAGCCTATTGTTCCCATTATATTCAGCCACCACTTGTTTGTCAATATTTTATCATTCTCGATCTTCTAAGCAGACTCATCGTTTGGTAAAATGTAGCAAGAAGATATAAATGTCTTACTCTTCTCTACACTTAGGAGCTGGGAGGGGGCTGGAAATAAGGGTGCTGCAGAGCCTCATCTACGGTTACTCTGTCCTCCTGCACTCCCACAATATAAATTCTTATGTGTCAACATGCCCATTCCAATTCCACAACTATGCTATAAGGTTTAATGGAGAAAAGACAGAGGATCTCACAGGGTACCACTGTAATAGACCCCTCACCAACCTTAAAGCCCAAACATTTGGAAACCTGCATTTTCCACCATATGCACATTTGAATATGTAACAAATTCCTGTCAACACCATCAATTTAAGGAATCATCACACCCACCCAATCTTCAGAGGGTCTCTACTCTTTATCTGTTCTGCAAAAAACTCTTCAGAGCATTTCCATGACGCAAGTGAAATCCCACCCTACATACATCACAGGATATATTCGATAAAATATGCATGGATCGCTATGAGACCAAACAAAAGAACAAAAAAAAGCTGAATGTGCTTAGCAAGAATATCTCAGAAACATAATCTCGTATCAAATTTAATAACCAATCTCAGCCAAAAGAACAAACTGTCCTTTACCTGCTTTGAGCTGGCGCCACCATGTTTTAAAGAACTACCTGGGATTAAGATGCACATCTCCATAAGGGATCGAAGCCTGTCACCGAAATTGAAACTCGAACAGATAAATAGTTGTCCAGAAAGCATTGTGGTGGTCAATTTCAAAACGAAATGATTTACTCCTAAGTTAAACTTACTTGTATGCAAGCTCTTTAAAATTTTCACTCCAACCTCTGATATGTTGATCCAAAAGGGCACGTGTAACAGAACTAATCTCAAAAACATTGGGTGATCCTAAAATCATCTCTAACATCACAACCCCAACACTCCACATGTCGTATCTGCAAGAAAAAAGGGTGTCATATCTATATTTGGCGAGGGCAGTTGCAGCCACGCTTAATTAAAAATAGCAGGATCTCTCATACTTCAGTGTCAAACTGGTCGGTCCATGGTGCCAGCTACTGTTCATAATGGCTTCGGGTGGTGCATAATCATGAGTTTGTTCTGCTCTGAATTCAAGATAATCCAAAGTATTATGATGATCAGGATTCACAAACCGGACGAGGTTAAATTTCCCAAAAAAAAAAACATACATAGAAAAGGAAGTACCTTGATGGACCTGTTGACCCATATAAATGTTTCATTGTATACTCATCAAGTGCACTGCCAAAGTCGATGATGCGCCTAAACAGTGATTATACGACCATAAGTTACCAGGAAACAAGAAATCACATAAGTGGAGGACCAAAAGACTTAAGTGCTGCAGAAGTGTAGAAATACATGGAGCAAAATGAATAAACTAGAAACTGAAGAGTAATCTAAGTACATTTTAGTTTTGAAGTTATGATCTCCATTTGGTACACCCTTTAAGCATCTTCCGGACTTGATGTCTTCAATGCATATCACCATATTCTCTTAGGAACATTGTAAATTAATTTCCGTGAGAATAATCATCTGCCACAGATTGCACACTATATGAACTATCATAAAAATCAACAAGTTTCTTACCGGGTTTTATATCTCTGTGAGTAATGTTGCGATCATGGCATGCCTTTAGACCTAGCAACTGAAAAGAAGAATAAAACATAAAGGAATATAGTAAGCACAAATAGAATTAGATTCAAACAAAGGAAGGAAATCAGAACTTCTCAAATTCCTATGCACATACCAATTGCCATATTATTCTCCGCATTTCTTCTTTTCCTGATTCTGTCGTCTTCAACCAGGTCCACCACTTCGACGGACGAAGTATCTGCCCGTGACTTGCTTCTTCAGCCTTTTCACCAGCAGAGCTATTCTCTGCTTCTTCGGCAGTGTACATCAGCTTTGATAAAGATACACCCTCGTGGTGAAACACAAGCCATATGTCATTATATCGAGATTCAAAATACTCTATGTATCTAGCAATATGTTTCAAACCCTCTTCAGAGAGACCCAATCCTGATGACGCTGGTTGAGAACTTGACGTTTGCGTTGCAGAAGAACTCTCACTTATATTATATGCATTTAGAAACAGTTCACCAAAATGCTTCTCCCTTAGACCACTTAAATAAACAGTTGGTCCTCTCTCTACCTGTTTAGGAAAAATAATGGGAAAATGAAGTAATTAAGTTTTAGAAGGATTTGCATCTACATGTCCTTATATAGGTCGAATAGATGACATAACGAATAGGTCAATTTGAAACATTATTTTTATTATAAGCAATTAACACAGGAAAACTAAACTAAAGAGAGGTGCCCACATCACAGATACATGACTTCTCACCATCACTCTAAGCATACAAAGCCAGAGAAAAGCGAAACGAAAGTTGCAGACACATCATTTTCGAAGGAAAATTTTGAAAAAATCCCAAAAAGAACACATACCATTATCCGCTTCAGAATGAAGGAGTTATTAGGACCATCAGCATCATAATGAACACCATTTTTCGATGTATTTTTATCTTCATCGATCGAACTAGTAGCGTTATTTCCTTCATAGCAATTCCAGTGAAATGCCAACCATACCTCACCAAATGCACCACGCCCAAATTTTTTCTTCAGCACATAGCTAAAAAATCACATGGTATTATACAATTTTATCAGCCATTTTAAAAGAAATTTCTTTTTCCTATTTTGAAACAATTGTTTCCATAATATGGAGACACTAATGATAAACCATCATGTTTCTCCGTGTAGAAACCATCTAACCAAAAGGCAACAAGAAGACATGACATGCGCAAAAAAAATGCCATTTGACTACATAGCCAAGTGCACTGAAGAAAAAACAAGAGCATGAAAAACAAAGCATTTGGCATAGGTTGCTAATCACAGGACTACCTAAGATCATGTAAAAGGATCTCAGCTATCAACGATGATACAAAAGAGGGAAAAAATGAACAATGCCAAAGGAAAAGAAGAAGGCACTCAAGTCCGGAAATGAAATAACTGATCAAGAAAAAGAAAAGGCACCTTGAGTCAGGAAATGGAATCTCATCCGTCCCGTTATTAGCACCAAAACCATGTAAGGGTACAGATTCAAGTAACCCAAGGAAAGTAGCAAAACTATCAGGATTGATGCACTGATCTTGATTCTCGTTGGTAGTCGTTCCAGAAGATAAACACCAGCCTTTTTCATCGGAAAAAAATTCAGATGCACAAAAAAGGGGGAAAATCAGGGATTTTATTATGACTAAACGCTAGTTCATTGGAACCAAAAACCGACAACAATAAGGTTTCTGATATAAAAGAGGATTCCACTGTGAATTTTTTTTCATTTACCAGGGAATGGCTCGGCAGATGCAGGTAGAACCTGAGGTAAGTCACCCATGTAACCGTTCAAATTGTCCATTTGCCCTTGAGACGCCCCAATAAGGTTCTCTGACATATAAAAGCGGCAAAAACTTCCGTTTTTAACTTCAACCTAGCACAAGAAGCATGGCCCAGATCATATAAGTTATAAGATCTTCCAGGTCAGTGATGTAAACTTTTGTAACGGTTGATAAAAAAAAAATAGAGCTGACCACCCCCTCATTCTTGCAATTCAACATCAACAGTTATAAGAAGGTACATTTTACAATAGAAGTCATAAGCTTAATCTGGGAATATTGGAATAGTGACATTGTGTCAAGTGGGTCATACCAATAACCTGTTAAACATGGTTGCAAGTGGTTGAGCCTGTTTCAATTGCAATGGACCCAAATTTATATCATTAGGCACTGTCGAAAAGAAAAAAACTTGATTAGCACATAAATTGTATGGACGATTATCAACAAAGCTTAAAACCCTACATTTCATAATCAGGATGTTAGGGAATTTGATTGCAACCAGAGAAACTCACATGGAAGCGCACAGTTGTTAGTGGGTAGTGCTGAAGCAATCTTATCTTTGTTGTCATTCATGCTCTGCTCTTTCCATTGGAGCTGCGTAACTAGATTCGATTTTAGAGGAACAACAACAGCAGCCATATTATCCATACTTCCCTTCTCAAAGGCAGTATTAACCAAGCAGTCTGCCAAAGAAATTGAGCAGTATGAAGGCACTCCTGCTCCAGAGCTAGTTTGATTGTTTACTTCCCACAGACGATCACATACTTCTTGCACCTCCAACTTCTCAAAGATGCCATCCGATGATACTACCAAGTAGCTGTCATTAGCCAGTAGAGGCTGCCAGTCCATCACCTCAGGTGCAGAGATGACACCGTAACTGAAAGAGATATCAAAACTCACACTTTATCATGTAAACGAGAGTAAGTATAACAAAAGAAACACGACTTTCAGCAATAATCATGTTCAGCTGAACAGAGAGACACTAACATACAACAAGCAATGCCTACCTTTTATAAGTAAGGTCACCAATTGAACGGGAGACAGTCAGCTGGCCATTCACTCGTGGCACACCGGCCCACTCTGTGACATAACCTCCTGCAGCTTCAACACGAATCTTTTCATCCTCCCTATTTGGGTGATGGTCCTTTGTCAATTCTTTGGCAATGAAATGCAGTAGTCCATTGCCATGTTCCAGTTTAAAGTCAGAGAACCTTGATGGTGAAGAGCCTCGATTGCGCCTTCGCTCTCTGTACAACTTCACCAAAGTAGCTGCAATAAACAAACACCATTGCAACAAACTGTTTATAAATAATACAATACTGGCTTTCTGTTAGGCAACTAGATTTTAGAAACAGATGTTGCTAAACCTCTAGCTTCTTCGAGAGTCTCAAATTTTTCAGAACACAGAAGTGCCTTTGAGTCACCGATACTAGCAACCATTAGTTGACCATCAGCTATAAGTGCAATTGTAGCAGTTGAACCTGAATTAAGCTTTCGGGCTGATGCTTCCTGGAGAAAAACAAAGTGTAGCTGGTTATATCCTTATCATGATACTAAAAAGGAAATATTTTTAACAAAGCTCGACGGATTGAGTAGAAGATATCCACTATACCTTAGTAAATGTGGCATCAATGTCATGGATCGCTCTCAGCAATGCTTCCTTCATAATATCCAAGTGAAGAGAATCATCAAAATTAAGTGGCAATGAGTCTCGAAACCTGCAAGAAAATTGGGACCCTACAATGAGGCGAACATGCCACACATTTCAAAATCACATTTCCTCACACACGGAAAGCCCTCGTAGCACCTTTATATGTTCATCATAATTTGTCAAAAATGACTAGTTGATATACGATAGAGAAATAAAATGAAAAAGCACTCAACTGCATTTGAAAATCCAGGTTGTATAGATGCATGATATCATCCCGACTTACGCCATGCAAAATAACACCGTGCTCCCCTTTAGTTGGTAGTCGTCCAATCATCTTCCTCGTCATAGCAGAAAAAGTTGCGTCCAAGAGAAAGTTGATATGCAAAGCAAAGTAATCCAATAAAAGTTTTGAAGCCATTTCACTGGCTTCTGCACCATTATGTCCATCAAAGACTGCTGCAATTCCAACCAAAACATCCTTTGTTCCAGTCTTGCCTGCTCAAATAATGAGACAATGCCATCAATATTTCCTCCACAAGTGAGTTTAGCTAGTTAGAGAATGAAACTTTCAATTTTAATTCTTAGAACTAAGAATTTTAACTCGACAGGCCTAACAAAGCACATAGATACAAAATCCAAATGTTCCATACCGGGAAATGGAATGCGAAGATCAAGAGCACAGAGGAGACGATCCTCTTGGTAGTTCCTCCGACCTTTAATAGCTGCAGTATGGCAACGACCAGCTCCACTTTGACCCCAATTGTGGAGATTCCAACGAGGGCATTTGGGTGATTGAAACACGGCTGGAGCTCCGCCTTGTTTGTAAACGGCCAAACACGTCGAAGATTCCCCTCGACAGTTAATAGCCAATAAGAAGAGGACGAAAGATGTAATAAGGAGCCATGAATTGATGATGGAGGTCATCTTCTTCCCTGCATGGCTTGGGTGAGATTTGAGGGATTTCTCTGAAAATAAACAGAAAAAATCTATTTCTGGATTAAAAAGGATAAACATAACAAATTCCTAACCAACAACAAGAAATGAAATGAAAACAGAATCGGAGAGTCCTAACCTATTGACATTCCAAACTCTTCTCTATATATTATGGGAAAGATTTGGGAAGCTTAAGAAGAAGGAAGAGTGGAGCAAAATGGTTGCCAGTTAAATCTCAAGTAAAGGTCGAAAGCCTCTAATAGCCAGAAAATGAAGCTAGATCCACCCTTTTTCAAGTCTATGATAGAAGAAGTACTATGTAATACTTAGTAATATGGAACCAATTTTGAGTAGAAAAAATCAAGCTCCTCCCCTTTGAGCTCTTTGCTCGTAAACATGGATAATGGAAACAAAAATTAATTCTCTAGCAGTAGCAAAGTTAATCTGGTCGGTAAAGAGAAATCTATTGAAATCAAAGGTTGGTTGATTACCTGGAAGGAAGGCTCTGACTCTGACTCTGAGCTTCTCCGCCTGAAAACTCTCTGAGAGAAGAAGAAGAAGAAAGAAGCATGCCCAGTTTTTTTCTTTCTGAAATTGAACCTTTGCCTTCATCGAAAGGGTTCCTTTTAGGCCATTTAATTATTTCGGGTTTAGTAAAATATGGGCCAAGGGTTCGTTAGAAGCCCAGTCCACTAGGACTACGCGGGGATATGTTGGTTGCCGATTGTCAAAAAGGAAACATGGACTAGTGATGATGAGGCTTGGAATGTTCTGTTGCGTTAAGGAGGAATCCAATCGTCGTTAAATGTGTTTTCTTTTCTTTCTTAATTTTTAAGGTTTCTACTTCTTCTTCTTTTTCGCATAATCCAAAAAGTTGCATTAAGATAGAGGCGTAAGCGGCCACATGGTCACCATGTTCGCAAGCACACTCCACGAGACACCATCATACGACGTGGCAATTTCTACCTTTTGTGACGTGTCTCAGGTTAGTTCCCCAAATCACAAGGAAACTTTGGACTTTACTACTCCTTGGAAAAATCCAATTGTACCAATCACTTTTGTGTATATCGTGTTTTCGATTTACCAAGACCTGAAAAGGCTCATTTTTTTTTACCTCTATAGTTTTACTCTCTATCCGATTGATGCCACGTAGTCACGACCGGTCCGGTGAGGTGTGCAACTTTTTGTATACCTTTATTTTTAGTATAAAAAATATACTGTATAATATTACTTCGATGGGATCCACATTCGATTTTACCTTACTCTCCTCAAAAACACAAGTTCCGGAACGTTCTAAGAAGATATGCACCCTTCCTCTTGTAATTAGTTCTAGAAAGTTCCAAGTCCACTTGGTGATCAAAAATTTGAGTGTCACGAGCTCCCCCCTATATATTATCTATTTAAGCACCTACGTGGCCATTGCCTTCACCACATCTCCTCCCTCAACTGCCATAAGTAACTAACCACCACCAAAAGCAGAGTACTCTGTTTTTTTAAAAAAAAATACACCCTTCCCGCTCTTTTCTTTTTCTTTTCTTTTCTTGGTTCTTTGCTTTCTTGGTAATCTCCAATTCAGGAACCCAAATGCATCGTTTCCTTTCATCAATTCCAATTTACAAAAAATCCAATCATAGATCATTAGAGTTCTAGCATTAGCATTGCTACAAGAATGGACCCGTCGTCAAGCTCCAGAGCACGGTCAATGCCGCCTCCAGTGCCTATGGAGGGATTGCAGGAAGCAGGGCCTTCTCCGTTTCTAACAAAGACGTTCGAGATGGTTGGTGATCCAAACACAAACCACATTGTGTCTTGGAACAGGGGAGGCATCAGTTTTGTCGTGTGGGATCCACATTCCTTCTCGGCCACTATTCTGCCTCTATACTTCAAGCACAACAACTTCTCCAGCTTTGTCAGACAACTCAACACTTATGTAAGTATAATCTCTGTTTCTCTGCTACTATGCTATTGTGTTCACTTGATCTTATAGTCTTGGAAGAACTCAACGATGCCTTCTGCCTCTAATTACTGCGAAAGGGTAATTAGTTTGATTCTCTATCTGTGAATTTCACCGGACATTTTGGTACTAAGTAATTATGCTCAGTAATAATGGTTGGTGAACTAGTAGTGAAAGAGAAGAAGTTTCTTCGCAAGTTCTGGAAACTTTATCCATATTCAAGTTGCAATAAAATATTGAATAAGCAGGCTCTTACTTCCATTATATTTAATAAGTAATAAAATATAAAGTTAAGGATAACGTTGGTTTTTTTACAGCGCAGTAGAGACTAGAGTGGCTGCAGGTTCTTCGTCTGTTACCAAAAAACTTATTTTAATATATTTGATTATTTATATATCTGCAGGGATTCAGGAAGATCGAGGCAGAGCGATGGGAGTTTATGAATGAAGGTTTCTTGATGGGTCAGAGGGACCTTCTCAAAAGCATCAAGCGACGAACCTCCTCCTCTTCCCCTCCTACGCCTAACCACTATCAACCCGATGGTGATGACCCAAGCGTCGAGCTTCCGCAGCTCCATGAAGAGAGGCATGTCCTAATGATGGATATCTCGACGCTCAGACAGGAGGAGCAAAGAGCGAGAGGCTACATCCAAGCCATGGAACAGAGGATTAATGGAGCAGAGATGAAACAGAGGCATATGATGTCCTTCTTGAGGCGTGCAGTGCAGGACCCTTCGCTTCTGCTGCAGCTATTCGAGCAGAAGAAAGACCAAGAGGAGGCTACGATGTTTGAACAGGCTGGCCTGGTCAAAACGGAAGCGGTGGAGCACCTGTCGGAGCTGGAGGCTCTGGCGCTTGAGATGCAAGGATATGGACGGCAACGGACTGATGGTTTGGAGAGGGAGCTTGACGACGGGTTTTGGGAAGAGTTACTGATGAACAACGACAACTCCGAGGAAGAAGAGGCGAATGTGAAGAGAGAGAGAAAAAAAGAAAATTAGTAGTATCGATCAATCAGAAGCAAATGAAGACAGAGAACCAACAAAATGAACTATGTGTAAAAACATAAAAGGGCTACACTACACCATCGTATTTACTCTGTTCCATTTTATTAGATATGTGTTAGAAATTTTGGTTTGTTTCATTTTATTTGATTTTTTTTTCCTAGTTTTTAATGTATAATTAATGTTTATTCAGAGTATGTTATGGCTTTAAAAATAAATTTCTTTTTAAAATTCCTTGATTTTAGCTTGGAAATCTTACAAAATGGAATAGATAACCCATATCACATTCACAACCCATATCAGAACAAAAGACATATATTATTTTGCGTGTTATAAGAAACTTAGGTGTAAAACGGGCTTAACTGAACATATATAAGAAAACATAAGATGAAATCAGGAGCAGCCGGGCTTGGGATTGCGACAGAGGCAGCGATGGGGGTCAGAGACGCAAACGCCGCTAATGGCACCTTCGTACTTGCACAAGTTGTCGCAGAGGCCTTCTCCCGCACCTTTTAACCAGCAAGGGAAGTTTGGTAGAAGCTTGCACTCCCACTGACACCTTTGCGCTTGAGCGTCTCCTTGCCCCACTAGTCCTATATATATGTATACACAGCAATTAAAGGATGATGTTATTCCAGATCGAGTTGCAGTTTGATTGAGAGAGTATGCATGTACCTGTGGAAACCAATAAGAATACGAGGATAATCGATGAGAAGCTGATCGTCTTCCCCATTTTTATTCTTCGTTGACTTTTAGGTTTATAAAGCTACACCAAATTAAAGAAGAACATGTCAATCAAAAACGAACACATGATTATATATACTAGTATATGATAACTGATGACGTGCGAGACACACCGGCTCTCTTCTTCCATTGATTAATTTATCCTTGAAACCCGCGTCGTGAAACCAACTTGTGAATAAAGTAATCTTCTCTGCCAACCTTATGATCTTGATGTTTTGGGTTTAAGCGTTTAGAATAACGTTTTTGATTCGGTCGTCCACACGTCCTTATCGTATCTATAATTAATTTACAGAAACGGCCCCCAGAATGTAATGTTTGTTGTTGAATATGGGCCTGGCCCATAATAGAAGCTTATTGCTTGCTACCTCAGAAATCAGATCAAAAGCTTGACCCAAAAAAAAGAAAAGAAAAAAGACGAGAGATAATTTGGAAACACCACCAATGGTTTACCGATGATGATGATTGGACAATGGGATTCTGCGAAAGAAAGATATGCGGTAACTTGAGACTACTGAGCAAAAATTCCCCCGTCTCTTCTAACACGATGTACTCTGCTTCGGCCATTTCGTTTCCAACGTTTCGTCTTCATTGTAGTATTCCGACAGAGCTATCATCATGCCGTCCCAAGTTGAGCCGAATTCGGACAAACCCATCCCTCGGAAAGCCCGTCCAAGTCCCTTCTCCGAAGCTCGCTTCTTTCGATGGAGGCCTTAATGAAGCTTTTCAACGACTGGACGTCAGCGGAAACAACTCTCCAATCGAAGCCTATGCCTACGTTCTCGAGCTTTGTGGTAAAAGCAGAGCTCTCTCTCAAGGTCGGCAGCTGCATTGCCGCCTTTTCAAGACTTTCCCCGCTTTTGAATTTGACTTTTTGGCCGGTAAGCTTGTGTTTATGTACGGTAAGTGTGCTTCTCTGGATGACGCAGCGAAAGTGTTTGACGAAATGCGTGACAGAACTGCCTTTGCCTGGAATGCGTTGATTGGAGCCTATGTTTCGAATGGTGAACCTGCTTCCGCTCTCTCTATCTACCGGAATATGCGTGTGGAGGGCGTTCCTCTCGATCTTTATTCTTTTCCTGTCTTGCTCAAAGCCTGCGGCAAACTTCGAGACATCAGGACTGGCTCTGAGCTTCATTGTATGCTCGTTAAACTTGGCTTCAATTCAACAGGTTTTATCGTCAATGCGTTGGTTTCCATGTATGCTAAGACTGATGACCTAAGCGCAGCTAGGCGTCTCTTTGACGCATCCCAAGAGAAAGGAGATGCTGTTCTCTGGAATTCTATTTTGTCTTCATATTCCACCTCTGGGAAATCTCTGGAGACTTTACAATTATTCAGAGAAATGCAAATGACTGGTCCTGCCTCCAACAGCTACACTATTGTTTCTGCTCTCACAGCCTGTGAAGGTTTTTCATATGCAAAGCTAGGGAAAGAGATCCACGCTGCTGTCCTGAAATCAACTCACTCTTTTGAAGTATATGTGTGCAACGCCTTGATTGCTATGTATGCCAGGTGTGGTAAAATGCTTGAGGCAGGAAAGATCCTTCGTCTGATGAATAACGCTGACGTTGTCACATGGAATTCTCTGATTAAGGGATATGTACAGAATCTCATGTACAAGGAGGCCTTACAGTTCTTTTGTGATATGATCGCTGCTGGCCACAAACCGGACGAGGTTTCATTGACCAGTGTCATTGCAGCGTCAGGAAGATTAAGCAATCTGCTGGCAGGAATGGAATTGCACGCTTACGTGATTAAACATGGCTGGGATTCCAATTTGCTGGTTGGGAATACGTTGATAGATATGTATTCAAAGTGCAACCTCACATGTTACATGGGCCGTGCATTTCTTATGATGCATGAAAAAGATCTTATTTCATGGACTACAGTCATTGCTGGTTATGCCCTGAATGATTGTCATGTAGAGGCCTTAGAACTCTTCCGGGATGTTGCTAAGAAAAGGATGGAGATTGATGAAATGATGCTGGGAAGCATCCTTCGAGCTTGTAGTGTGCTGAAATCCATGCTCATTGTCAAAGAAATTCATTGTCACATTTTGAGAAAAGGTTTACTTGATACTGTGATACAGAATGAGTTGGTAGATGTTTACGGAAAATGCAGGAACATGGGCTATGCTACTCGAGTATTTGAATCAATCAAAGGTAAAGATGTTGTCTCTTGGACGAGCATGATTTCGTCTAGTGCTCTTAATGGTAACGAAAATGAGGCTGTTGAACTCTTTCGACGCATGGCTGAAACTGGTTTGTCAGCTGATTCTGTAGCATTGTTGTGTATACTGTCAGCTGCAGCAAGTTTATCTGCCCTCAAGAAAGGGAGGGAAATTCATGGCTACTTACTCCGGAAGGGTTTTTGCCTAGAGGGGTCCATTGCAGTTGCAGTTGTTGACATGTATGCATGCTGTGGAGATTTACAGAGTGCAAAGGCTGTATTTGACCGGATAGAAAGGAAAGGTTTGCTACAATACACAAGTATGATCAATGCATATGGAATGCACGGCTGCGGAAAAGCATCTGTTGAGTTGTTCGATAAAATGAGGCATGAAAACGTCTCACCCGATCACATTTCATTTCTGGCACTTCTTTATGCGTGCAGCCATGCAGGTCTGCTTGACGAGGGTAGAAGGTTTCTCAAGATCATGGAACTTGAATATAAATTGGAACCATGGCCTGAACATTACGTGTGTCTGGTTGACATGTTGGGTCGTGCAAATTGTGTAGTGGAAGCCTTTGAATTCGTCAAAATGATGAAAACAGAACCAACTACAGAAGTCTGGTGTGCACTCCTTTCGGCATGCCGATCTCACTCAGAGAAAGAAATTGGAGAGATAGCTGCTCAGAGGCTTCTTGAGCTAGAACCTAAGAATCCGGGAAATCTTGTGCTTGTATCTAATGTCTTTGCTGAACAAGGAAGATGGAACGATGTAGAAAAAGTGAGGGCAAAAATGAAAGCAAGTGGAATGGAGAAACAACCTGGATGTAGTTGGATTGAGATGGACGGCAAGGTTCATAAATTTACAGCAAGAGACAAGTCTCACCCAGAGACCAAAGAGATATATGAGAAATTGTCCGAGGTTACTAGGAAGTTGGAGAGGGAATCAGGTTATCTAGCCGATACAAAGTTCATTCTGCATAATGTAGATGAAGGGGAGAAGGTTCAGATGCTGCATGGACATAGTGAGAGGCTAGCAATTGCTTATGGTCTGCTCAGAACACCTGACCGAGCCTGTCTCCGGATCACAAAAAATTTGCGCGTCTGTAGAGATTGCCATACTTTTTGTAAGCTGGTGTCTAAGTTATTCAGACGAGACATTGTGATGAGGGATGCGAACAGATTTCATCATTTTGAAAGTGGACTGTGTTCTTGCGGAGATTCTTGGTGACCAAACTTTGACAAAGCATATGTTCATCAATCCAGACCAAGATTATTAATTATGTCATTAGGTCCACATAGCTTCACAAGGGTTGTATATGGCTATTTGCATGTGTCCCACCAAGAGAAACAAGTGAAGTCGTCATCTTAGGAGGGAATGACTGCCTTTTTTTGCACCATAGAAGGGAAAGAGAGAGATAGCAAGGGAATTCAAAGTAAGAGACTAAGAGAGAAGATGGAGACCTGATTAAGAGGAAAAAAGTTAAGGCCTATCAGCAATTAAAAGCAGGAAGCAGAGACCTAGACACCAAGCTAGGGATAGAGTCGTCTAACTAGGCTGTTCAGCAGAGACCTTGTAAGCCTTTTGAGAGTAAATGTCTTCAAGACACTCATTTCTATTTTCTCTTTGTGATTATATCTGCTTTTAAACGCACACCTACCAAACCCGTGGATGAATCTTTCATAGATACACCTCTATCCCTCTGCATTCAAACACAAACCACAAAGTACCTCTGTTGTTTACTTTTTACGTCTTTGTATTTGCATCCTCTAAGAGAATGATGGCTTGTTTTGTGGGATTTTAATGCAGGAGGAAACATAGGAGGGTGATTAAGGCAAAAACCTAAAGTCGTGGTCTTTTAGATACATGGAGTCAAACTAAGAATGGACCTTGGCGAAAGCTTCTTCACGGTCAAGATTTAAAATCAGGTACGACACTGTGTACGTGAGAGAGGGAGAGAGAGAAAGAGATTAGAGAAAGAAAGAGATGTATCACAATTAGGGTCACAGGTGGTGGAGATATAGGTATGCAGGGCCGAGGCTCTAATCTCTTCATAGCCCTATTGATTTTGTCCCTCTCTCTCTCTTTCTTCTTCTCTTAGCTGTATGCATTATGATGCGTCTTTTAATTCACTGTTCCAGGCTTCTTTAATTCGTGGTGTCTCTCTCCTTTTTACCCAACCATCTCTTTAAATTTTCAACATCTGTCCCTCAAATCCTCTCTCATCTCTTTCTATAAGTATCTCTATCACGCCTCTTAAACCACAAAGCATCATCTCTGTCTTCTCTCATCTCCTTCCTCTATTCTTTTTCATTGCCAAAACTTTTCTACCTTCTTCCGTTTTATACATTATTAATCCCTCAAATATGTGAAATCTGCACAACTTGTTGCTCAGGTATTTTGAAGACAAGTCCACAAGGGAACAAGTGAAGCTGCCAGCATGATCTATCTTTGGTTAAGAGATGAATGTGGAAACATATTGCTTAAACCCAAGCTAGGTCATGCTTTGACAGCCTCACTCCTTCCTGGTTTAGGACCATTCACTGATAAAGCATTCCACATGCCGATTGAAAGAAAAATAAAGTCTTGAACGCACACAGTTCAGACTACATGAAACCGTTGTAAGTGTTCTCTCTGTTTTTCCCTGCTTTGTCACACTCTCCACTTTCTTTTCTCATGTTTTTGCGCTATAGATCTACCATAGGTGCATCATGTTTTAGT